ATGGCTCTAATCCGCATTTGATTAGACCAATGTAGACCATCATAATAACGATTGAAGTTGGAAAGGGGAAGTCGAAATATATAAACAAAAGACTTGTTATTCAGACTCGACCACACCGACCGGACTGTGGCACTATTGCCTGCCGGGTTGCATTCTGCGTTCAATATTGCATATAGATGAATGCATTTATTGCAGTACTGCAATGTGTGTGCAATAATGGCTGTAATGATAATATAAATAGAATAGAATCATGCAATCCGACGGTTAGCCACCCCAAAAGGGGAAATTTGGAGAGTCTCCTAAGACTATCGATCACCAGCAACCCCTCTCAAGGTGCTGCCCTCCAGATATGGGGGAGTTCGTCCACCCGGGGGGTCCACCAGAGCTGAAAGGACCACTTTATTGCCTGTTTCAGCACCAAGTCAAACATCCGGAGGCAACAGCTGAGGTCCTTCGCATGATAATCTCCTGATACGAGCGGCAGTGGAAGAATTCAGCCGAAGCGATCGTCGAGACAAATTAAGCAAACTTAAATCGCCGTGTTTCAAAGCCCTCGTCGTGGACTGTGTCGTATCCGACTCGTTGGTAGGTTTTCGCTGGTGCGTGTGGGAAAATTCAACCGCGTTATCCGGCGCGTTCTGATGATCGCGTCGCGTTCGAGTCATAAAGCTTGGATAGTTGTAGGTGCTAGTGCTCGCGGTGCAGATACGGTGTACATAGTACAATTACACTCCGCTAGAACATGCGCATCGACAAGTGACATACAGATTGCATGCGCATTCAGGCTGACCAGGCTCAGCCTTTCCCCTCAATAATCACCAATCTCCATACAAAATAAACAGGAGAATCCTCCGACCGAAAAGGGGCGGGTCTGAATCCAACTTTTGGTACGCGTTCTTGTCGGAGATTACGGCGGGTGATGGAGGTGCCGATGACCTCCTTTTCTGATAGGAGCTGCGTTTCGTCACGTCACATTGCTCGTTTTGCACTCGTCTGGAGTGCATATTCGGAATGGTAGTGGTTGAGTTCACAGCCACCGACAATCCATACCACGTACACCGTAGTCTGCACGTTATCTGGGCTATGCACTGGATGTACAGGGTTCCCTACATAAGCATGTTCCGACATTTAATTTAACATCAAGTAATATCGCAACGGCAAGGGACGGATCGCATCGACCTCGCTACGCTCTTGGACGCTGTTGGAGAATGTTCGGAGATTCCACGGAAAATAGAACACCATTGGACATTCAGACCAGTTGGAAGCACCGGATAGCACTTTTGTTAATTGCCATCCTTGCTAGCTCATTATCATTGTTCTGTCTTGCTCGTTAGAAGTACTGCACCGAGTACAGAGTCCTCTCTGCTCCGTGCTCCATACCAAGCCGACCCACAACTCAGGGGATACGTAGCTCCCTGCTCAAACCATCATAGTACTCCCTCCACCCGGACTGAAGGATACAAAGGAATCCTGCTTAGACTGCCAATTGGCTTTGAGGCTGTTGAACACCTAGCACTAGCACGTCCCGGACCGAAACATAGCCATTCCCCGAATGGCCGGGAGATGTCAATATCGATGTGACCAGGGTCCGCGCGTGAAGTCCGTTGTCCGTTCCGACCATTGATATTAAATCTGCCTCGCCGTGACCGTTGAACCAGGATGTCCCCTTTGCGTGACCCCTAAATGGCCGGTAATCAATAATAATAGTCGAGGCTCATTCCAACCACATGTATGACAGCGGCTAACCGTGCGCGAGCACTGGTCAGTGCTGTTGGCGTTGGCCAGAGTAGGAATTGCACTATAGCGGCAGTTTATTTGAAGCAGACCGTGATGTGATGCATCATGCAGTTAGTTAGTCTCGCATATGCAATTCCGACTTCATTCTCCAAATTGGTTTCACTGGATGTTGTACTTTTGTCATGACTAATCCGATGTCCTTCGTCCAGTAGTGAAGTATGGAGCACACTACTCTCTACTATGTACAAAAACTACTACATACTTTGTCCAGCACAGCTGAGCACAATGTCGATCACTAACCCTCCCAAAGCCCTCTTCTTCGACGTTTTCGGAACAGTCGCCGAATGGCGCACCTGTATTACTACAGCCCTCTCCCAAGCCGCCCATCATGCCCTCTCCGATCCCCGCAGAGACCTTCCCGCTGCCACGCGGGCCCGCGCCTCCGCCATGATTCCCGCAGACTGGCAAACAGTCACAGAGACCTGGCGGGCGTCGTATGCCAAGTTCACTAGCACCTGGGATCCCCAGTTACGGGGTGGGTTCATTTCAGTCGATCAGCACCACTATACGGCTTTACAAGGGATACTCGAGGAGCGGGATCTAGGTGATCTCTTCACTGATGAGGAGCTGTGGGGCCTCGCATTATGCTGGCATCGACTGGAGCCGAGGGCTGATAGTGTTCGTGGGCTAGAGTTACTGAACACTCGATTCCGGACTTGCACGTTGTCCAATGGGAACGTCACTTTACTACAGGATCTCGTTCGAAATGGCGGGCTGCCGTTCAAGGACATTCTCAGCGCGGAGCATTTCGGGACGTATAAGCCTTCACCAAAAGTGTATCTAGGTGCCGCGGAGAGGTTTGGGCTGCAGCCGGGTGAGTGTGCGATGGTGGCGGCGCATTTGTCGGATTTGAAAGCGGCCAAGGGGCAGGGGTTCCAGACGGTTTACGTTGAGAGGGATCAGGAGGAGGCGTTTAGTGCTGAGGAGGTGGCAAAGGTGGGGGAAGAAGGTTTTGTTGATATGTGGGTTGGCTTGGGAGGAGGGTTCATTGAGGCTGCTAAGCGGTTTGGCATACTGTGATGTAAATAACGCCATGGGTAACGAATACATGATAATGCGATGCTGCCAGTACTTCATGAAACCATGTGAGTGGGTTGGGACGTCATAGCTATCTACGCAGAGGCCAGCTAGGTATATCATAACGTCTGTAATTTAATTGACCTCATCCTGTAATCGACATACACCGAATTAGATGACAAGGAACTACAGCTAGTCGCAGAATACTACATGACCCGTCCAAAAGAACACTAACCGCCACTATATTCCGAGCAAATCCTTTACCATGGCATCGGAGTGCACAGTATCCATTTTCCATATGCCCGGTAGCCGGTGGAGTCTAGTAGCCGGTATATCTCCCGGGGCATGCCTTCCGGGTTCCGCGAACGGCTCGATGTACCACTGGGAATCATGGATAGGAGTAAGAAGACCACTAGAAGGCTTCTGATTCTGTCGATCAGCACACCCCCAAACAGTGACGACGAAGCAGATTATCATTATTGACTTGTCACGGAGCACATATTCCGTACCAACTATTGACTACCGGGGAACGGGGCGAGCCGTTCTCACGGGTGGCAGATGCTGTGCCTGGTATGAAAAGGGGCTCGAGGGAGTATGTGCTCTCGTAGGAACAGAGTACGGACGGATGCTCTATACAGAGGGCTGTTTATCCCTGACGGGAAAGCTCCGGAAGCCAAGTGACATTCAGGAGAGAGAAGTGTGGATAGTAGGTTATAGTGGTATCCGTGCTCGCCTACGACGACGATCTTCAATAACGCCGGTTTGGGTACCAATTGGGGATAGCTGATAATCAAGTCGTTTAGTAGACCCGGATAAGAGTTTGGGAAATGAACTTGGGCTGTTCTTATATGGGACATGAGAGTTTGTACCCAAGGCTATGTACACCGGTTCGTAGAGACTACTATGTTTGCCAACTTCTCCGTTTGGTACTAACAATGCCGCAGATTAAACTGTTTTTTTTTTTTTTTTTTCCTGCTATTGAATCCTTTTCGCTATTCTTCGGAAGCTCGAGAGCTTTCTTGATCATCAAATAGTCTAGACTTGTGCCCTGTGCACTCCACGTGGCTGCAGGGTTATCCTAGTCCGTGTGCAGTCCGTGTAGGGATGAGCAGCCGTAGGAGGACAGGAGAGCGTACTGTGCTTTGTATATTCCAAGATGAACACGGCTATGTATCAATGCCTTGATGGGTATGTCACACCTAATTGGGTATACTCCGGGCGGTATACTGTACATACCACTCTATACACCATATGCCCACTCCGAAGAACATTAAAACTATTTAATCTGTATACTACCAATCGGATAGGGAGATCGATCAGATATCTAGCTGTTAGCAGCTAGCAGTCTACAAGTGCTCCTAGCAAAGGATACTGACAGATCGATATACCGGAAACTGGTCCGCCCGTGGTCCACAGTGGAGGATGGCAGAAGTTATTAAGAAAGATATAATAAGAGAGAAAAGAGAAGCAATCATAATAATAAGCAAGACAGTGTAATATTCTGGATCAAATAGGAGCTTCTCGTACGAGTATTTTAGTCTGTTAGTATCAAAGGATCGTCTCGAGTCGTTTCTTTTTCTTCCCCTCTTTTCACACTCTTTTACTCTTCCTCTCACTCTCTCTTTTCACCTTTCTTCTTCCTCCCTCACTCTCTCTCTCTCTCTCCTCTCATCTATAAGACTCTGTATATTCTCATTCCTTTTCGATCCTGCTGGCCAGTAACCGAGGTATTCTAAATATAACTGCCGGTTCTCGATTCGTGTCTGAACGAATCCGAGGTCGTCACCTCTACACAGCATTCGGTACTTTGACGCTGGGCATTCCCACTCGACTAGTCAATCGCAACTCTTGATTCATCACTTCTGCTATAATAATACCATTATCTCGCCAATTGAATCTCCATATAAAGGTATGTATGGGTACTTTGGCGACTTCTCCTGTCTGCGGGCGGGCGGTCTGTCAAACTAACCAAAACCCAACCTTCTCCCTCCAGTGGCTAATTTGGGTCGGTCCACACAACAGACGTCTCCTCTTTCCAGTCTTTCTCGACTCCCTTGTATTAGTCTGAAAACATACGCGACTTCGTTCTCTCTCGTTTTCTCTCTTTTTGCATCTTTTTCTCGCTTTCAAGCCGATCCCGTTCTTTCCATTGATTGCCGGTCGCTTCGCATCCTCTATCAGTCGCCATGGCGGGCAAAATGACGTTGTACAAATTGGTGGTCCTGGGGGATGGTGGTGTTGGAAAGACCGCATTGACAATTCAGGTAAGCTTTTCCTACAGGCACAAGAAAAAAAGGCAAGGCTAATTTAGTAGCTCTGTTTGAACCACTTTGTCGAAACATATGACCCAACTATCGAAGATTCCTACCGCAAGCAGGTCGTTATCGACCAGCAATCGTGCATGTTGGAAGTGCTGGATACCGCCGGTCAAGAAGAATACACTGCGCTACGCGATCAATGGATCCGGGATGGTGAAGGTTTCGTTCTCGTCTACAGTATCACTTCGCGGGCCTCGTTTTCGCGGATACAGAAATTCTACAATCAGATCAAGATGGTCAAGGAATCTGCCAACTCCGGTTCTCCCTCTGGTGCCAGTTATCTGGCATCCCCCATCAGCGCCCCCTCCGGTCCCCCGCTGCCCGTGCCTGTGATGTTGGTGGGTAACAAAAGTGACAAGGCCGTCGAGCGCGCCGTGTCCGCCCAGGAGGGCCAGGCACTGGCCAAGGACCTGGGCTGTGAATTCGTCGAAGCGTCGGCTAAGAACTGCATCAATGTCGAAAAGGCTTTCTACGATGTCGTCCGTATGCTCCGGCAGCAGCGACAGCAGCAGCAGGGCGGCGGGAAGGGCCAGGATCGTCGACCGACCGGGATGGGGCCCATGCGCGACCGTGATTCCGGTCCGGAATATCCCAAGTCGTTCCGACCGGATCGATCGAGGCATCGCAACAAGTGCATTGTTTTGTAAGCGACATACGGGGGTACTACTACGCAGTAGTACGGAGTACTTGTCAAAAAAGAAAAACCCCTGAGGCTTAGTTCCTCACCCGCGCCAACCGCACCAACCGAAAAAACCAAGAACCCAACCGACCAGTCAGTCAGTCACCAAACACCACGACCGCCAGCGCGGCCCGATCGACTAATGCTTGATGGACTTGTTTACTTTGTTCTGTTTTTATTTTATTTTATTTTATTTTATTTTTTTTTTTTTTTTCTATTACACTACCTGATGACAAGCAAAAGTTCGGATGGGGGAGAGGAGGATTTGCAGTGACATTAGCAGGCATTCGATATGATACCCTACGACCGAGCTTTGCAGCATAAATAGACATGATTATTTTTTATATTGCCTCTTTCCTTCTATGTACTTGTAGTTATCTTCTCTGTACATACAATAGGTCCCTGACAGCCGCAGCCGAAGCCGATGGCCCCTGCGTCGGTCCGCAATGCGGGGAAGCTCAATGTTCATAGCCATTTACTTGTACGATCGGTATGAAGCGTATATTTGTAAAATACATAGGTAGCTACGACCTTGTCGGTTAAATGGAAGCCTAGTATTATCACTATCCGGGTTCTATACTTGCAGTATACAAAGTACTGCAGTATATTCAGTAAGTGCGAGCATGAGTACTCGGTAAAAGCAAGCATATGCATACTACAGGGATATATGATGCATCACTCTTGACTTACATACTGCACAGATACAGTGTACTTTACTCTATTCCTTCTGACGATGGCGATCTATTCTATTAATCACTTGGTATGCAAGATGCACCCGGAACAAACTTCCATCCACTTACTGCACTCTCCAGAATCCCTTGGTTTCATCACGCCTCCGCTATGCATTGACGCGAATCCTGTACTAGTGTCCTCTCCAAGCCCCAAAGCCCCGGCACAGGTACAGTGTAAAAGCACCGCCTACTAGTTCCAACGACAGTTTCGACAACTAACAACTACCTATCATTGGCAGCAAACGATGAAAGAAGAACAGACGTGGGCAAAAAAATTGACAAGGGTGGGATTCGAACCCACGCCCCTTGCGAGACACGGAAGCTTGCCGAAGCAGAACTCAAGAGATCCAGTAACCTGAACCGTGCGCCTTAGACCACTCGGCCACCTTGCCATTGATGAGTAACAGGTTTATTCATCTGGATTCACAGACAGAAAGCCCTCGTTTCTCGGTCCAAAACATCTTGCCAGAACTGTAGTCGTAGTTGCCGCTGTTTTCTTGCAGTCTGGGTTAAACGTTGCGCTACCTCATCATCTTTTTGCTCGTTCTTCAACTTCAGTATACTCCCGAGCAAATCTGACGGTTGCATCTTGCGCGGCGGCCAAGAACGCGCGGATAACCGCTTTCTGCTCCTTGGTCAGGAAGCCTCATGGCGATGGCAATTGCGGTAAAGCATCTTCAACACAGTACACTTCGTTCACCCATTCAGAAGGCTTATTCTAGGTTGCATGTTCAATAAAAACGACAATGATGAAGAAGAATAGTTCAGCAATTGTAGACTATCGATCGGGAGTGACTTGCTGAATAGATGAGATATCCGTCAGGCAAGCCTCGTAAGCTATTTCATATACCCGACTAAATTTGGCTTTGTTCTCCTTGCTGTTGGTCCATTGAAATATATTGATGTCCACATCCACGCGTGTTGCCGGAAGAGCAAGTAGCAAATTGCAAATTAGCAAAAAAATAAAAAACCTCGGGGTTTCAGGAAGGTTAAAAAAGAATTGACAAGGGTGGGATTCGAACCCACGCCCCTTGCGAGACACGGAAGCCAACCCGAAGGAAGAGCTTAAGAGATCCAGTAACCTGAACCGTGCGCCTTAGACCACTCGGCCACCTTGCCACGATTGGATAAAAGTTTCTCTTATGAAAATCTATCAAGATATCAAATATTTCTTAGAAGCATCCGCCAGTTTCTGTATAGGTCTTTGGGTTCTTTAGCTTCGTAGATACTGACATAGTCGCCGAATTATGACTTTGGTTTCTTCTGAGTTGGTGGTTTTGCACGAAATCTATATATAGCTACCAGCGAAGCATAAGCGGGTGTATATTTTTGTAACCATGGTTCCGTTTCGAAGTATATATGCAATGATGTGCGGCCTAGAGTGAGCATGATCATTTATTTGAGCCGTTGAGGTATCGGTGGACTGGCAAGTTCGGTAAAGTCTCAATGGTATTTGCCCGGGATCATTTCGTTATCGCTTTGGTTGACTGGACGAGGGCCGAGGATGACACCGGTCGCCTGCCACTATTCCAGCCATCGAAGATGATGCTCGCCAACGAAAGACTTAAGGGTAGTGTATGTAGTTGCGTAGTTGATGTCTCAAATCAGTCATACAATGAGCGTTAACTTAGTTTAGATGACGCCGGTGATGCTGGTACCCTTCCTATGTCTCCCGAATGGTTTTCTGGAGGGATCGTGCTGCGGCTGTTTCTGAATCTGCTCAATTTAGAATATGCGCGGTTGACATATTTTTGTTCGAGGTAGAACATCTAGGCCAATACATTGGAAAGAAGAAGAGACACGATAGCCAGATGAGTATAGAATGATCCTGTAGTATATTTCGCTCGTCCTTCTGAGGCTGTCCGGTGTCAATCACTGCTGCCTGCACCAGAACCTTAATTTAACACATGATAAAATAGATTGATGACGGGGATTTGGAGGTGTGTTTTCATTGAAAGGAGAATAAACAGTATTGGGGGGAAGAGGTCTTTGTTTGTCCTAGCATGGTTTCATGGACCGTCTACACCCAAAAACCGAGACAAAGATGTGACCTCTTCCGTCCAGTTCATTATCCCTTTAGCTCGATATTGATCATTTCAAGGTTGCTCTTGTGTGTGATATTCTGTCCTCCTGATGTTCAATATCGTCCCATTGGAAAACGAGGTATTTGTTGAAAGGGTGGTATGCGCCATCTGTATGTGTTCTTCATAGGCGAGCATAGCAAGCAAAACTGGTTTCAATACTCGTAGACCCTTTAGTCAGACCCAGTGTACCGCACCAGCTTAGCTGAGGGAGTTGGTGAAACTGGTGCGTGCGGATTATGAGACGGATGGATATTCCGACGGTGGAGGATACGGGGGTGGAGGCTCCCAGACAGAGCGTTGGACTATTTTAGGAGTGCAGATCTTAAAGAAAATCATAGAAAGATCTAACAAAAGCAAAATGGTATATTCATTAAGCGTAAACTCCATTATGAGCACGTGGATACATCCTTGACAAGATATCCATTATAACGGAGAGACGAATCAATATGATCAGAAGAAAAGAAAAAAAAAATTAAGAAATCAGATAAAAAACCAAATGAAACCAGACGAATATTCAACCCAGTCAGTCACTACCACTCCATATGTACAAAAGCACTTGCACACTCAAGTCACCCAGTCACTGGAGTCAAGTCACTCAATTAAAACCCAGTTGCTAGCTTACAGCAAGAAAGCAACAAGTCCGAACACAGTCGACAGTCCCAGCCCAGCACCGGCCGCAGCGCGCGAAGCACCGCCGGTGAAGATAGGCGACGAGGGCGTGGTGGCCGAGCCCGAAGCCGACGACGAACCGCTACCCTGGCCGATAGCCTCAGCGGAGGAAGGACGCGGGATGACGGGAGTGGGCGAAGAGCCGCCAAGGATGACGGAGGAGCTAGAGGAGCCAGTCACGGCGGGAGAGGAGACGGGAGAAGAGGCGGGAGAGGACTCAGGGCTAGGGCTGGGCTTGACCTCGGGGGTGTTGACGGGGACCTGAACGGGAATGGTGGAGGAGGGGACGGGGGTAGAGCTGCTGTTCTTTTGTTAGTACACTGTATGTGGATGGGGGTATAATTAGAGGGACGTACCATTTCTCGCAGTGAGTGACGGTAGAGGTGATCAGAGGACGGCTGATGCTGTAGGAGTGGCCAGCAGAGGTGGTGTACTGAGGAAGCTGGCTCATGGTCGCAGAAGGACAGTAGGTGGTGTACTCGGTGACGGTAACGGTCTGTTCCTCCTCCTGAGGAGCGACGGCGGCGGCAGCACCGGCCGCGAGGGCAGCGACAGCAAGAGAGAAACGCATGTTGGCTGTTGTGTGTGTGTATGTGTGGGATAAAGAGTGACCCTAACGAGTGACTGAATGCAAGAATGCAAAAAGAAAAAGAATGTAATCGGCGAACCGGGGCTTAGAGAGTGAACGGGTTGGAGAAGAGAAGAGAAGAGAGGAAAGAGTGCGAATTAAATGGGGGAAAGGCTTTTATGTTTAATTTCCCCTTAAGATTTGGCGTTGTTTTGGGTAGTTTAATTAGCCTGCGTGGTACTAGTAAGGGGGTTTATGCCCACGCACCGCCCGTACCTGTCAATCATCCACGGTTCATCCGGAACAAACCGTGGATGCGAATCATTCATTATTCAAGGGACTTGTCTTAGCATTCTCTCTCTGTGTATGAAGTTTGTTTACCTATGCCCGCACAAGTATATTCTGTACAAATACAGACCTACGGTGTACCTATTTGAGTGCCACTGTCCTGATCAGGGGCGTACAACACACTCGGCCAATTCAGGACAATGCCCCGGAAGAATGAGACAAGTCTAGACTTAGCATAGTTCAATAGGCATTCCACCGGCAAACGAACTTGACTATCGATCTGACATGCTATTTATATCCGAGAATACGGAAATTGTATAAAAAAACATATACGGAAAACGGAGTAGAACAAACGAGTATAATTATTCTAGATCTAGTTATTTACATGGATCCGACCCCTGACATAAATCATGCTGTACTCCCCGTAGAACAGAATTCATATCATGCAGACACACACAACTCCAATCAGATGTAAAAGCTGCCCCTATTGGATGGTGAATGGACGGGGGACATGTCAGCAGCGCCCAGAATAGATAGAAATCCTTCCGAGAGCTGAAAAGTCAAACCGTCATCTCTTCATATTGGATTTAGTTGTGTGATGAAGAGGAAAAAAGAGGAAAGAAAAAGAAGAATTTGCAGAATTTTCCGACCCCAAGATAAAACCCCGGACCGGATTAATAAATATACCGTGCACGTGCCACAATTCCCCTATTTGGAATAGCGTTATTTGCTTTCCGCGGGCAACGGAAACCCGGCCGTATCTGATGTTGCCCTCCGCCGGCCTTCTTATCGCTTGCCTTTCTCTATTTCCTCTTTCTTTTCTACTTTCCTTTTCACTTCTTGAATTGTTCCTACCTATTGTGTGATTACAGTTAAAACATACTGCACCATGCTATCCCGCTGCGGTCGTCAGGCTTCGCGCGTTCTTCCGCTCGTCGGGAGCTCCAGAACTGCTCCTATCGCTTCCCTCGCATCTATTCGCCCCGGATTTCATCTTTCCTCCCTCAGAGCCTCGGCGCAAGCCCGGAATGTCTCCTCATCGAGTAGGGACTCCCAACAGAATGTGCGCATACCTGGTGGCTTCCATTCTCTCTGGCTGCGACCCAATTGAGCTAACTTGTGACGTATAGTTGCTCTCCGCATCTCTCGAAGAAGTCGACCCCGCCGTCCACGATATAATCCAGAAGGTGCGCTTTTACATTGGAATAAGGGTGGAATGCATGCTGAGACCGTTTAGGAGAAAAAACGCCAAAAGCACTTTATCAACCTCATTCCCTCTGAAAACTTCACATCCCAAGCTGTTCTCGATGCGCTTGGAAGTGTAATGCAAAGTGAGTCCTCTCCTTGTATCACTATTGGCCGCGCTGACCAGTTCAGATAAATACTCAGAGGGATACCCCGGTGCCAGATACTATGGAGGAAACGAATTGATCGACGCGTCCGAGCGACTTTGCCAACAGCGCGCATTGGAAGCTTTCAGATTAAACCCGGAGGAATGGGGGGTCAACGTTCAACGTGAGTTGCCCTAATACTAGCCTGAAAAGTGTACTGGAACTGACGAAACAGCCCTTTCCGGCTCCCCCGCAAACCTCTATGCCCTGTCCGCTCTCCTCAATACCCATGACCGCCTGATGGGTCTTGACCTCCCCCACGGAGGTCACCTGTCGCACGGCTATCAGACCCCCACCAAGAAAATCTCTTTCATCTCCAAATACTTCGAAACCATGCCCTACCGCCTTGACGAGTCCACCGGTGTCATCGACTATGACGCCCTCCAGAAGTCTGCCCAGCTATATCGTCCAAAGGTCATCATCGCAGGTACCTCGGCCTACAGTCAACTGATTGACTACCCCCGGATGCGCGAGATTGCCGAGTCGGTGGGCGCCTACCTGCTGAGCGACATGGCTCACATCTCCGGTCTGGTCGCCGCTGATGTTGTTCCTTCGCCTTTTACTCACTCTGACGTTGTTACCACCACCACCCACAAGTCCCTGCGCGGCCCCCGTGGTGCCATGATCTTCTTCCGTAAAGGGGTCCGCAGAACGGACAAGAAGGGCAACCCGGAGATGTACGATCTGGAGGGTCCCATCAACTCTTCCGTCTTCCCCGCTCACCAGGGAGGCCCCCACAACCACACTATCACCGCTCTGTCTGTTGCCCTCAAGCAGGCGCAGACTCCTGAATTCAAGGCCTACCAGGAGACCGTTCTGACCAACGCCAAGGCTCTGGCGGAACGCCTGGGAACTTCGCTCAATGACGGTGGCCTGGGCTACAACATCGTCTCCGGCGGCACCGCCAACCACTTGGTCCTCGTTGACCTGAAGAACCGTGGTGTGGATGGTGCCCGTGTCGAGCGGGTGCTGGAACTCTGCGGCGTGGCTTCCAACAAGAATACCGTTCCCGGTGACAAGTCCGCCTTGCGCCCTGGTGGTCTGCGTCTGGGCACCCCTGCCATGACCACTCGTGGCTTCCAGCCAGAGGATTTCCGCCGTGTGGCCGACATTGTCGACCGGGCGGTGATCATCACACAGAAGCTGGACAAGGCCGCGCGGGAGAGCGCTGCCGAGAAGGGAGTCAAGAATCCGGGTACAGTCAAGGCATTCCTGGAATACCTTGGCGAGGGCGAGGAAATTTCGGAGATTGTTCTCCTGCGACAAGAAGTGGAAGACTGGGTGGGAACGTTTAGTCTCCCATGGCAGGATGAGTGATTTCCTTTTTCTTTTTTCTTGCTTCTTTTTTATTCCCTCAATTATATGATTTGTATGTTCAACACATGTAAGGTTATGATAAGCACATGTCCATGTTACAATAAAATTTCAACGACGGTTCACAGCACTCCTTGATATGCCAGGGTCGTCTCTCTGATAGGCTGGCTTGCCTTTTCCACATCAGGTAAACGGTTCCTATGTCACCTCGATTGCGGTGTGCAACACGAACACATGTGGTTAATTCTAGAACTGTGAAAGTATTGCCTATTGCGGTGTTAAGTATCGGTATGTTTGCTTCGAAGCTATCAGGTTGATAGCGGCGGCGGTTCTAATGATAGAGCCAGCCCTAGCTATAAATAGCCGTAGGCCATCACTATCTAGCTAGTATACTAGACCAATTCATCTCGATAGAATCAGAATTCACCATGATAATCGAAAGGGTACCTGCTTTCCCACCCCACAACCCCAATAACCCCAATACTAACACAAACTAGCTATACACCTACCCCATCAAATCCCTCCGCGAAACCTCCCTCCCCTCTGCCCGCCTCACACCCACAGGCTTCCAATATGACCGCCGCTTCATGCTCCTCAAGGTCATCATCAAGCCAGACGGTGGAGAGGAAATGCGGCATATGAGCGTGTCCAAGTTTCCGGAGATGGCTTTGTTCAGAACGGATATCGTTTTTCCTGACGGGTGTAGAGATGAGGACGAGACCAATGAGGGGAGGATTCTTGTTACTTACTCGCCTCCGACTGATACGACATATATGGACAGCGAAAAGAGGATAGAAGTCCCCTTGACACCAGATGTGGAAGAATCAAACCTTAAAGAGGTACAAGTGACACTTCACGGAAGCCCGACAAGGGCGTATGTCATGGGTCCTGAGTATAATGGCTGGTTCAGTACTTGTTTTGGGTATAGGGTTATTCTAGTATATCTAGGGCCACATTCGCGTCGTGTGTTGGGGAGTTTTGCGCCGTTGAAGCGGAGTCAAAAATCAATTTGGAATGTGAATTTGGAACTTGGTCTGGGTTTATCGTCGCCAAGAGTATTGGTTGAAGGGACTGCGGTTGTAATGGTTTTATGGTTGGTCCTTGTTTACGGGTATGGATATGGATCAATATCGATCTACTTCCTCGTGGCCGCGGCTATGCTACGAGGATTCTTCCTCTTCCAGAATTCCGCGCCGACAAACCTGAAACGAGGAAAAGAAGAACGAGAAGAAGCATACATAACCTTTGCCGATTGCGCACCCTACCTAATCGCCTCAATGACATCACTACACAACGTCTCCGCGCGACTCCAGGATAAGGCAATGAATATGACCAAGTTCCGGCCTAATATCGTAGTTTCTGGTGCCGAGGCCGCATTCGAAGAAGACTTCTGGACCGAACTAACCATACACAACCAAAGCCAAAACCGAGAAGAAACCCGATTATTATTGACAGCAAACTGTGTTCGCTGCACGAGCATCAACGTCGACTACACAACTGGCAAGATGGGCAAAGGCGAGGAGGGAAGTGTATTGAAGAAATTGATGAAGGATAGACGAGTTGATACGGGGGCGCGGTTTAGTCCTGTTTTCGGACGGTACGCTTTTTTGCCTACTCTTACTGGAAAGGGGATGGAGGTTAGCATTGGGGACGGGGTGGTTGTTTCCGGGAGAGCGGAGGTTAGGAGTGTTTATGGTGAGTTTTTCTTTCATTTTTGGGTTTGGATGCTGATATTGGTGGTAGATTGGCCGGGAATGGGGAATGTATAGTTGATGTTGCTTTCGCTCGGCTCGTTTGTTGAATTCGTGGGTATCAACCATTCAACCATACGAAGAGGCTGTAGTTCTTCTAATATTATATTCTTCTCTATTCGCTTTCATACATTTATCTACTCAACAAGCCAACAACGCCTTGCTCGGAACGTTTTCAATGCCGTCATTGGTTTTCGGAGGGATGTACGGATAGTTGATTCCACCTGCCAGGGATCTTCGGGGATTGCCCTTCTTGACATTCTGCATTTGCTGAAGTTACATTATAGTTATTGCACAGGTACTTTAGAGCTAATAAATTAGTTATGATAGCATAAAAACATTAAAGGGTAACCTCCAAACCCAATGGCCGGCTAAGCCCTATACCCTGCTCAAACCCCTCACCATAACGAATGACCATTCTATCCTCAATTCCAGACCCCAGCCTCTATCAGATGACAACATCACAAGATACAAGAAACCCCGAGTTACACTTACCAAACGGCTAGACCGGTTTACAGAATCCGGGCTTTGCTCCGAAATCACCCAAACCCTCGCCACTATTCGAACCCGAAAATCCGTATCAGGTAGATCAATCACGTACTTTGGCACATCCCGGTTCCATAAAAAGGCCGTTGATGTGAATGCAAGTTTAGCATCAAACCCCGCAGATTGTCGTGTTTTGTTTGCGCTTGTATAACCACGATGTGTTTGCTTCTCCGCGTTGAGCAAATCCCGGACATCATGAGATTGTGTTGCGTTTCTGGACCGTGCGGGGGCCTTACACCTTGTTGCTGTGTTTTGGATGTTGGAGATATCCATGAACAGGTAAAGGATTAGAAAAAGAGCAGAGACCGAGCCCGGGAGAGCCGAGTGGAATGATGGTTGAGTATGAACGGAGTTGAGGATGAAGGGTATATAAGGATGGAAAGGGAGCAAATTTCTGAGTCTCATCATCAACTTAATCACTTCAACTTCCACAATAATAAAAATTCAGCCCGTCTTCAAACACTCGCAATGGCTCCCGTTCTCAAGAAGTACAAGGCCGCCGCCGTCAACGCTGAACCCGGCTGGTTTAACTTGGAGGAATCCGTCCGCCGGACCATCCACTGGATCAACGAAGCCGGTGAAGCTGGCTGCAAGTTCATTGCCTTCCCGGAGCTCTGTAAGCCCTCTTCACCAAAACATACAACACATACACTGACACAACCAGGGATTCCCGGCTACCCCTACTGGGCCTGGAAGGTGACCTACCAAGAGAGCCTCCCCCTCCTCAAGGCCTACCGCGAGAACAGTCTTGCCTCGGACTCAGATGAGATGCGCCAGATCCGTGCTGCTGCCCGCACGAACAAGATCTTCGTTTCTCTGGGCTACTCCGAGCTGGACTTGGCCAGCCTCTACACCACACAGGTGCTCATCTCGCCCACGGGCGAGGTGATTAACCACCGTCGTAAGATCCGCGCTACTCACGTTGAGCGCCTTGTATTTGGAGATGGAACCGGTGACACTACCGAGTCTGTTGTACAGACTGAGATTGGTCGTGTTGGACACTTGAACTGCTGGGAGAACATGAACCCGTTTATGAAGTCGTATGCGGCTTCGCTGGGCGAGCAGGTTCATGTTGCTGCTTGGCCTTTGTATCCGGGTAAGGAGACGTTGAAGTATCCGGATCCGTTTACCAATGTTGCTGAGGCGAACTGTGATGTAAGTTCTTCTCCTCGACTTTGTGAATGAGTGATGCTGACGAAGTAGCTCGTGACTCCCGAGTATGCCATCGAAACCGGCACCTTCACCCTGGCTCCGTGGCAGACTATCACGGCCGAAGGAATCAAACTTAACACCCCTGCTGGTCGGGACTTGGAAGACCCTAACATCTACAACGGCCATGGCCGTATCTTCGGCCCTGACGGTCAGAACTTGGTTCCTCACCCCGACAAGGAATTTCAGGGTCTTCTTTACGTTGACGTATGTTCCTCTCATATATTTATGTCTGTCCGAATCAATGCTAAATAATGCCACGAACAGATCGACCTCGATGAATGCCACCTGTCCAAGTCGTTGGCTGATTTTGTAAGCTCCCCTGATCCCGAAGAGAAAGAAACAAATGAACTAACAAACCAGGGCGGTCACTACATGCGCCCCGACCTTATCCGCCTGCTTGTTGACACCAACCGCAAGGACCTGGTTGTCCGGGAAGACCGGGAGAATGGAGGTGTTGCCTACACCAAAACCATTGACCGGGTCGGATTGACGGTTCCTTTGGATGAAGAGTAAACTTACCACTTTATACAGGGCTAGTTGAATCTCCTCTCATGTATCATGTAACATAGAAACATAGCAATACATTCTCTGCTACAAAGCTACACTTAGACTACAGATCCTTACAACTCTCTGTAAAATATGTACATTTACACGACATCCTTGTTCCCCTTAATCCCCTCCTCCCTCTCCCTCTTCAACTCAGCCTGCATCCTCTTCGCATCTCTAACCCCAAACCCATGCTGATAAACCTCCCTAATTTTCTCCAGCGGCATATTATGTACCTCCGCATAACAGAATACCGCAAACACCCAACCAATCGCACACATCCCCGCATAGAACCCAAACGCGCCACTCGGCGTCATCCCCTTCATCATTGATAAGAATGTCGACGAGATGATAATGTTGCATGCCCAGCATGTCACAGTATTTAGCATCGTTCCCAGTGCCCGGACCTCGAGGGGCAGGAACTCCGTGCCGACCCAGGAGATAGGCGCGACGCCGGCAGCGTAGAAGGCGATATAGACGATTATGAAGACGAGGAGGAGGATGGCGGCCCAATTCATGCTGTTGCCTTCTTGCGGTTCGAGTTCAGGAGTTAGGGGGATGTAGTTGAAGGCGACGGCGACGATAACGAGAGAAATCGTCTGTTGTTCATTAGCATCTGCCACCGGAAGGAAGGGGAGGGAAGAGAAGTACCATTCCCATGAGAGTGATCAAAAGGACAGTCCGTCGACCAAATCGGTCAATCACGCCAAAATTGACAAACCCGAAGAGAAAGTTCGTCGCTCCAACCACAATTGACACGACCGTTGGTTTATTGAACCCAACAATGGAGAACAGCGTTCCCGAATAGTACATCAGCGTGTTGAATCCACCCAGCTGTGAGACCGCCATGATGACACACGCTGTCGTCAACGCACGCAGATTAGCCGGGATAGTAAACAGCTGCTTGAGCTGCCACCACAGACTCCGATCCGAGATCGAGGTAGAAGACTCTTCAATCGAATGCCGGATCACCCGCACCTTGGCCTGCCGCTGCTCGTCCGACGAATTAGGGAAAATCCGGCCCAGCACGCGCACTGCATCTTCTTCGTGCCCATGTGCGATAAGTTGTCGTGGCGACTCAGGACACAATGGAAGTAGGAAGAAGAGAAGAATTGCCGGGACGCCGCCCAGACCAACCATGTATCGCCATCCATGTGTGACGCTGGTGAAGCCCGCCCCAAGCGCATAGGCAATGAGTTGTCCAAACCCGACACACAGGTTGTCGAACACTATTAGTCGTCCGCGCGATCGTGCCGGTGCCATTTCTCCGATGTACAGGGGGATGATCATAGCGGCGCTGCCGACTCCCAGGCCGACTATGAATCGGCCGACAGTCATCTGAGCCACCGAGTATGCAACGGCCTGGATGATCGAGCCGACTAGGAACACCACGCAGCCAGCGTAGATACCCATTTTGCGGCCGTAGCGGTCCGACGTCAAACCGGCTAGGACGGCGCCGACGAGGGCACCGCCGGAGGTGATGGATGTGACGAGTTCTTGTTCATTCGAGGCGAGTGTGTGACCCAGGTCTGTTCCTAGATTCACGAGGACCGCAGAGATGACACCAGTGTCATAACCTTCCCTGTCCGTTAGCGTTATGCAACATAAATGTCATACATATGAATTGGAGGGTAGATACCGAACAGAAATCCTCCCATAGACACCGTACACGCGATTAACCAGACACCCTTACCAGGATTCGTCTCCTCAATGGAGTCGTCCAGGGCCAGGGTCTGACCAACACCATGTTCATCATGGATGACTTGGGCCTTGAAGTCATCGTCGTCCTCATGGTCAAGTTTCGTCGTGCTCATGGTTTGATTGCTGTCGCTAAGTGCGGATTGTATAAACTATCTGGTCCGGTGGAGAATGGACAACATTCCTCATTTAACGCACTTATATACATTTTCAGTTCGGCTTTTGTCCGTGCCGTTATCTTCAAACAATGCGGAGTGCCCCGGATTCCCCGGATTGGCACTGTCATTGCCAAGGGCGGGTATTCGTCTCGTATTTCTTGTCTGCATTGACAAGACTTGCCGGATTGAGCGATATTGATGCCAGACGGGATTCTTTTCCTGTTCCAGAGAAAGTAATATTCCCCGCCCTTGCAGGTGGAATACCCCAGGTGGATGCATTTTGAACTCAGTGTGAGTTCAGTGTATATCGAAGCAAAAATCCCCGATATGAACAATCCAAGAGTTATAAGAATGCTAGCTCTGTCATGATCATTTGCAATTGAATAGAACTCAAGTCCAATTCAAAATCAATTTCAAGAGTCAAACCACTCAATTTACACGGCACAATGTGGTCAATATGGTTGTTGGCGCCCTACGCGTCGTTTCTTCTTTTCGCTTCTTTCATCTATTTCATTGTTTATCCTTTCGCTGAATATATTCGGGACCCCAAGGGTCTCCGGCGCTACCCCAACATGACATCCTTCTCCGGAATGTCCGCAATCCCCTTCATGATTCTCGCTTCGAGAGGGTTCCGCTCCAAAGAACTGTCCGAAATGCACAAGAAGAACCCTGTCATCCGCACCGGCCCCAACACCCTGTCCTACGGTGATGTTCGTGCTATCAAGGATATCTACGGTCACGGGACAAAGTGCATCAAGGATCCGTCCTACATTGTCACTGCCGGGACGCACTATCACCTTGCCGATGTGATTGACAGGGCCGAGCACTCGCAGAAGAGAAAGGTGCTTTCGTCTGCTTATGCGCTGAAGAACCTCGAGACTTGGGAGTACAAGGTCACTGATAAGCTTGAGCGGCTGGTGGCGCACTTTGACAAGGTCTGCACGGCACCTGCTTCCGATGCTGTGGTCAAGGGCAAGATTGCTCCCGATCCGCAGGATATCACTCTGGACTTCCGGGCATGGACAAACTTCTTTACACTCGACGCTATTGCCGATATTGGTTTGTCGGAGAAGCTGGGCTTCCTCGATACTGGCAGTGATGAGTGCATCGCCGAGACCAAGGATGGGAGAACATACAAGGTCAACTTGCGGGATGCCTTGTATCCCAATGCGATCAAGCAGTCTATGATCCTGTGGAACTACGACTGGTACCCGATCCTCAACAAATTGGTCGATGTCATTCCATACTTCCGTCGGATGCAGGAGACGGGAAAGCACTGGGACAACATTGTCTGGCGTCGCTCGATCGAACGCCTTCGCCGCTATGAGGCCGGTGAGAAGCTGGACGACTTCTTCCAGGCGACCATGGAGGACAAGAATGGCCGCCCAAACAACTTAGAATGGGGCAATGTCGTGTCCGAAGTGAACATCATGATGAACGCCGGTAGTGTCACCACTGCTGTAGCCATCACCAACGTCATGTACCAGCTTCTCAAGAACCCGCACTGCTTGGCTAAGCTCCGCGAAGAGGTCGACTCCGTTTTGGATCCTGATGAGGTGATCGCCCCCTACGACAAGGTCAAGCATCTTCCCTACCTCCGTGCCTGTCTCGATGAATCCATGCGTATCTTCCCCCCGACTTCCCACGGTCTACCGCGTGAAACGCCCGCCGAAGGCCTGGAGATCCTCGGGCAGTGGGTCCCGGGTAAGACCTCGGTCAGCATGTCGGCCTATGTGGCGCACCACGACGAGCGGGCGTTCCCCAACTCCGATCAGTACATTCCCGAGCGATTCATGGGCGAGCAGGGCAAAGCGGTGCAGCCGTACTTTGTGGCATTCTCCGCTGGCGCGCGGTCGTGTATTGGACGCAACATCTCGTATCTGGAACAGACTAAGGCCCTGGCTTCGTTGGTACATCGGTATGATTTTGCGTTGCCGCATCCGGACTGGGAGTTGAAGCGGTTGGAGTCAATGAATTTGATTCTGGGGGATATGCCGGTGAAGATCTGGAGGAGGGAGTTGGCTGCATAGATTCTGTTTTTTCTTTTCTTTTTCTTTTTTTTCTGTATTAGCGTATTTGATAACTTGGCATTGGTTGGAAAATGAATTATGACTTTTATGACGTTCTCATTCGTTCTTTCTATCCACAAAACAGTAAATGAACAGTACATAATTGGTATAATTTCCCCGGTACAGGGTTGGACAAGTCACGTGTAGCCATACGGACGTTGCATCATAGATAATCCATCCCCAACACTACCCCGTACCTTCTGTAGATTTCCATGTTCTAGCCAGAAAAAGATGCATTTGCCTTTGCAGCTGATCAAAACCAACAAAGCCGAGAGGAACATTCCCCGCTGTCGGCTTACCGAAAGGAGAAAGTTTCCCTGTATGTCGTAGCGGGGAATATTCCTCTTCTCGAGCGCATCTTATCCCCCGCATTTTCAGAAACAGTCATCTGGGGTAATATCCCAAACGTGAAACGACAATCTCTGACATCACGGGACATACTCGGGTGGATACTATCAATAACAATGAGATGCGGAGGTCGTACGAAGCACGTACGGGGATGCCGAAGATGGAATTTCTTCCCTTGTTGAGCAAAAGTCCTCGCGATGGGGTTGTGGTCAAAGTTGATTCCCCGAGTGGCATCGATAGCTTTGGAAGTTATAAGATGCCTTTCCGTCCCAATTGAATTGATTCAACGACCAAATCCCTCAATTTCCATTCACTATGACCGCACAATGGCCCCCAGACTTTGCCCAGCTCGCCCAATTGCTAAGACCAACGGGCGTGGTTGATTATGCTGCTATCGCTTTTATGTCCACCACTTACGCCGCATACCTCTCCCGCGGTCTCTTCTGGGACCAACCCGACCCCCTAAACTACCTCTATTTCCAACGTCCCCAACTCGAAAATGGCGGCTCCGCCAACGTTAATCAAGAAACTCGAAATATCGCCCAGAAGCTCGAAGAAACGGGCAAGAATATTGTCGTCTTCTGGGGCTCGCAATCCGGAACGGCAGAGGGGTTTGCGAGTCGCTTAGCGAGGGAGATATCGATGCGATTTAGACAAGAGACCATGACGGCTGATTTGTCGGATTATGACCCCGCAACGATAAAGTTGATTCCCGAGGGGAAGTTGGCTATCTTCATTCTCTCGACGTATGGTGAAGGTGACCCCAGTGATAATACGAGCGAGTTTTGGGAGTGGATTACCAAGGTTCAAAAGGGCGAAGGAGATGGTGAGGTATCTTTGGAGCACTTGCGCTACACGGCCTTGGGTCTTGGGAATTCGAACTACAAGTTCTACAACAGAGTGGTCGATGTTGTCACCGGGGGGCTGGACCATCTCGGAGCTCGTGCCGTTATGCCCGTGGCCAAGGCAAATGATGCTGAGGGTGCTACACAAGAAGACTTCATGACCTGGAAAGACGATCTGTTTGCCGTCTTCAAGAATCAGCTGGGCTTCCATGAGTCGGAACCTAGATACCTGCCCATTCTCCAAGTCGACGAGGATACGTCTCTTGAGCCGATCGACCTCAACCACGGCGAGCCGGACAACAAACAGGCCTCCAAGACCAGCTCGCCCGTCCGTGTCCTGGGTATTGAGAATACCAAAGAACTTTTCCACAACTCTGATCGACACTGTCTCCACATCGACCTCGACATCACTAGCCAGCCCGAACTGGTCTACAAGACCGGTGACCACCTTGCCGTCTGGCCATCCAACCCAGACGTTGAGGTAGATTTGCTCCTCCAAGCTTTGGGCTTCTCGTCCGAGCGCGGCCAGACACCCATCAGCATCAAGTCTCTCGACCCGGCAACTACAAAAGTCGCCATCCCAACCCCAACCACCATTGATGCTCTCTTCCGCTACTACCTCGAGATCTGCGCCCAAGTTAATCGTGACACAATTTTGGGCCTGGCCCAATTTGCCCCAACCCCAGAGGCAAAAGCCCAACTCCTCCATCTGGGCCAGGACAAAGCCGCATACGCGGACCTACTCAACCGGAATTACATCACCCTCGGCCGGTTATTACACCTTGTTTGTACGGAGAGCAATAATGCGTGGTCCGGAATACCTCTTTCCTTCCTAGTCGAATCTTTCCGCCCCCTTCAACCACGTTACTACTCTATATCCTCGAGCAGCGTTATTGCTCCCCGTAAACCATCTATCACTGTCCTCGTCTCAACATCCCATGTCCCTGAAGATCCCAGCCAGCTCGTCCACGGTGTTACATCAAACTACCTCCTTGCTACTGCACAGCCGGAAGCACACCCGTATGGACTTACATACCCCACAAACGGGCCGAATAACGTCCTCCGTCCCGAAGATGAGGGCAAGACGGGTAAAAAAGTGTTCGCCCATCTTCGTCGTACCCGCTTCAAGCTGCCTATCCAGGCTGCTGTGCCGCTTGTTATGATCGCGGCTGGGACGGGTCTAGCACCATTCCGCGCGTTTGTTGCCGAGAGACGTCAGCTGCGCTCGATCGGAAAACCGGTTGGTGAGATGATTCTGTTCTTCGGGTGTAGGAGTCCCGAGGAGGATTACATCTATCGTGAGGAACTGGAAGCATTGGCGAGAGAGGGTAAGGAGCAGGGTGGTATCGCTGATTGTCTGCGTATTGTTACGGCCTTCTCGAGGTACCAGCATGCTGGGGAGCTGAGACGATATGTGCAGGATCGGGTCGAGGAGTACTCCAGCGATGTGGTCAAATTGTTGGATCAGGGAGCGAACTTGTACATCTGTGGACGCGCCGGGATGGCAAGAGAAGTCGAAAAGGTGGTTAGCCAGGAGATGCAGAAAGCTAAAGGATGGGCAGACGACGAGACGAATGAGTGGACTAAGGCGATAAAAAAGAAGAACAAATGGCAAGAGGACGTTTGGGGATGAGCTCCAGTTATTGTCAGGTTAGATTCATTAGACATTTTATTTCATTTTAGCGTTATGTTTAATCCATATGTTTGTCCGAACATCTATCTATCCCATAAATCAACCCATCCTACCCATCCCACATCAACAATCCCAGTCTTACCAATAGACACCGGGACACCGGGACACCGACAAATCAACCAAATCAAATCACTGCTTCGCCTGCGAAAAGATCGTCTGCCATATCTCAATCCACTGCTGCTGCTTGTATGACAGCCTCCTTTGCGGCTCACGGAACGTGCCAGCAAGGATCTCCCGGATTCTCGCAGAAAGCATCTTCAGCGCCAGCATGGATTTCCAGTCTCGCACCGCAAATCGAATCCGATTGGCGTCGATGGAAATCACCCCAGAGTACATCTATAACTGAGTCAGTATCTCACATGATCTACCGCGGGGCATACAGAAGGAAAGAGGGGTTACATACCTTAAACTCCGCATCACCGCACAGCAGCGCAATGGCGAAATCATCCACAGCACTTGTCTCGTGCGCGTTATAGTTCCGATTCCGCGCTTGCATGAGATGGTAAAAAGAGACCCATTTGACTGATGCATCTGCCTGCTTGTTCACCGAGGTCGGGTGCAGCGTGACCGATTGATTGTTCGAGACGTTTCGCCATCCTTTACCCTCGCGGGCGAGGAGCTTGGGATAGAAACTCCATGCGACGACGGAGTTTACTGCTGTATCATTGGCGCTGTTGATGTCGTACTCTTCAGGGATGACGAAGAATTGACGGTTGCGGCCACCAGATCGGGCTCTGTTGTCCGTTAGTTTTGGTCTTGGAAATCGGGAATCGGGTATTGAATAATGACCGACCTGTTTAGAGAGGTCTTTTGCGAGGCGTCCAGTTGCAAAAGTCCTGCATCGGCTATGGATACTACAAGTTGCATCTTGACATCTTCGATGTTCAACAGTGTCTGTGAACTGAGAAAGTTTTTCCGACAGAAGGCGTATTCATTGGATCCAGGCGTGCTCCTTGCTCGCTTCCAGGCACAGTACGCATTGTAAACGGTCAATAGGTCCGAGTCGCCTGTGGGGAAACATTAGCCAGCAACTTAGGCGGGAAACCGAAGGACAAAAAATTACCCTTTCTGAACGAAAGCCTCGCCACCTCCTTCTGCGAATTTGACCCCATCGTGCTAATGAATGGGGATTTTGATGAGAGAATGGCCGCAATGCTAATGGCTGCATCTAGACACTTGAAAAATGCCCCGTGGATGATCAGTTTTCCGAGAAACACGTCCAATGGCAACTTGGCAAGCTGTGTTCCTAGCGGGGTGAGATTCTCCGTGTTGGTAAGAGCCTTAACTTCCTTGAGGGAATCAATTGCCCGCCGTATATTCTTCGGAGATGGCGGGTCGACGGCCTCGAGGAGGGTCGGCTCCACTTCGCCGAGTTTACAGATCTTCACTCGTAGGACGAGATCCTGCAGTGAAAGACGGAGCATCTCGGGTGTTTGTTGTTCGGAGAGCTACGAGTCGTCAGCTGGACAGAATCAAAACCAGTAGGAAACACAGCGTACCAATCTGTCATGGCGATACTTGGTAATCAGATGGAAACAGATTCCGTTTTGGACACGACCAGCTCGTCCTCGTCGCTGTTTGGCGTTGGCCCGCGAAATAAATGACTCGATCAATCTTGAAAGTTGCCGTCGTTCATCAAACCTGTCTAGTCAGTAACGTTCATGCTTACAACCAGGCGAGATTCCTACCGCATAGTCTTCTCTCTGCCCGTATCAATCACAGCAGTAATATCCGGAATTGTAATACCTGGGGAAGTTAACATCCAGTCCCCATAAAAAGCATAGGCAAGCAAGCCTACCGGTTTCCGCAATATTAGTAGCAATAACGATCTTCCTCATTCCTGCCGGAGGCACACTGAAGGCCTTTTCTTGATCTTCACTGGCAATAGAAGAATGAAGCGCGTGAACGATCCAGCCCTGTTGGAATGTTGGCTCTGAGAGAATCTCGTCGTTTAAGCGACGAATTTCTGCCATACCGGGCATGAAAATTAAGATCGCTTTGCTGTACTGCGACATTTCGGGCGCAGAGGCGATCTTCATGACTAGCCTCTTGATCAACTGGTAATCGAGACGGTACTCATCAATGTTCTGGATAGTTTCTCTCGTTTGCTTCGAATAAGCGTCAAGGGTTGACTGAACACCACTAGCAGCGTCGCCTTGCGAGCTCTCAGCCATCTCCTCTGTGTCTTCGTCAACCACAGCGTTCGATTCGTTCTCAGTCAACCGGTAATTTGTCAGCTCGATAGCATCCTCAAGATGCTTCATCTCCACAGGGAAGGTTCGTCCAGGGATGTTCATAACAGGGACACCACCGAGATAGTTTGAGAAGCGTTGTGCCTCGAGAGTGGCCGACATAAGAATGAGCTTCAAGTCGGGTCTTCTCTGCATCAATCGTCGAATAACGATAAGGAGGAAGTCGCTGTCGATCGTACGTTCGTGAACTTCATCAATCACAACGTGCGAAATGTCTTGGAAGTCATCCGGCCGTTCCAGCATTCGTACCACAACACCGGTAGTCCTGTCAAGTGTGAGTCTGATTACCTTATATCAATTATATCAAAGGGAAAGAACATACGCATATACTAGTCTCGTCGATTGGCTAACCTTGCTCTCCAACCTGACAGCAAAACCAACCAGAGACCGAGATGTCCCGATATCATTCTTGCTTTCTCCCAGTTCTTCACTGACACGCCGTGCTAGAGAGATAGCAGAGATCCTCCGGGGCTCCGTCACATAGATCTTGGCAGGGCGACCCTGCTGCATTTCATGCTCCAGAATGAACGACGGAATTTGGGTACTCTTTCCGCTACCAGTTTCACTGCAAATGATGAGGGCACGGTGCGTGTCCAGCGTGGTGAGAATTTCTTCCTTGAAGTCCCAAATAGGGAGATTCATTCGGCCCTGCATCATGTGATGGAAGGAAGGAGTGGAGGCTTTTTCCATCCATGCCTGTGTTACTTTATCGTTGGGGCCTAGGTTCTCTCTGGAAACCGTCTTCACCGGTGTTTCGGGCTTGCTGGCAGTACCGTTTCTCCTGCGGAAGTTATCTGATAATACGACATCGTCTTCAAAGCCACCGTTATTCTCCTGCACAAGCTGTTTCAACCAAGTGACGGTCTTCTTGTCGATTTCGTCCTCCTGTGTCTTCTTGACAGTCGCAAGCTCGGTCCAAAGGTCCCTCCAGACTGCTGGAAGTCGCATGTAAGCCTTGCCCTCTTTTGAGTTCTGTGGGAATAAGATGAAGAGAGCCAGCGTGGAGACATATGCTTCAGCTTGCTGCTGAGCTGGCGTTGCAATATTGTCCATAGAAACGTACGTAGCGTATGCAGTCGATTTGTGCGTCACCATGTCGAGCGAAAGTTCGAACGGGACTTCCTGCGGTTTCGACCATCGCACTTCAATCGCCTTTCTGTTCTGGTACGATGAAGCAGAAAAGTCCTTGAAAATTATCTTGCACCCGGTGTCCCTACAACTCATTAGCTTCATGGAGGAAAGCACCAGTAACAATATAGGTAGGCATACCTGGACTTGCATGTTTCCTCTAATACCCGCCGAGGACTGAGACCGGAGAACTTGCCAAAATCACGGACGCACATCGTGGCTTTACTCAGCTCCCCAAGAATGACGCCCGACTCCAGCTCTGGTTCTTCGGATCCAAACATGTCTCCAAGCAGGTCTGCATTCTCATTGTCACCGGCAGCGGCAAAAACATCGCTCTTCAGTTCCGGCTCCGGCTTTGCCTCCTCTGGTTGTTCTTGATCCTCAACAGGAGGCGGCTTCTCTTCCTCGCGCTGGGTACGCCGGAAAAACGATGCCTCCTTCCTAAGATCCTCGAGCTTTTCTCTCCACTTGTACTCGGCTTCTTCGCGGTCGAAAAGCACGTCCTTTTCAATGTTGGAGATCTTGCGTTGAAGCTTTGCTGCTTGTGGGTTGTTGGAGCCACTGTCCGTATTGTCCCGACCAGATTTCTTTCCCTTCTTCGGCTTGTCGTAGAGGTCTGGATAGAGGCTGTACAGCTTGGCCTGCAAATCCAAGTATTTAGGGACCAAGGTATCCGGTTCAAGCGAGCTATCGGAGTCATAATCCAGGGCTGGGGGTGTTGGGGCTTTGGACTCGGGCTTAGAATGTTTAGTCCATTTGCTCTCACCCTGCGTGGGGCCGGACTTTGGCTGGTCGCCTTCTATAAGAGAAAACGAGAATTAGCTTCTTTTCAATTACTAAAAGCACGAATAGCTTAGATTTACCAGTTATCCAGGATATCGTTTTATCTGAATCTTTAGGCAGCTGTGCACCCGTCCTAGCATAAGATGGAAGCTCAGTGGGATCACAGTGCAGAGCAAACCAGTCTAGTATTTCGTCCAAATTCCACAAAGCATCCCTATTAGTAGGAACAGGATTGCCTGCAAAATAGACCAAAAGATGCTTCAAAGCTTCATCTACCCTTGTCTCAGGGAACCCAAGTCTAACCAAGGTCTCTTTCAGGGTCCATAGCTTCATATATAAATCCTCTTCGGAGAATGTCCGTTTCGCGCCTGGCTGTGGACTGAGCTCACATTCCTCCGTCTCAAGGAGACCCAGAATCCGGTTCAACACATCTACCGGCAACCATTCGAGAACGTTCAGCGAGCCGGATGCCTGCTGTCGCATGACCCGCCGCTCCGTCTCCAGCTTCGTCACATGTCGCGCAGCATCGCTCCTACACTTCGACGCGTGTTTTTCGACCAGTAGTTGAAGCTCCGCGTCCTCCAGGTGCTTCTCCAACTGCTCCGGTGTATACTGCTGCAGCGACTGCGTGTCTTTTGTCTGTGTTTCGAAGGGCTGAACTCCTTCTGCAGGTGTGGCCTGATCTGTTTCCGGTGGTGCGGAGATTGTCTTGGACTCTGCTGGGGTTGTTGCTGCTGCAGTTGGCGGGGTGGACGTAGCCGATTCCGGCTTTGGTTTGGAGGGAATGGACGTAGTAGCAAAACCTCGAGCTGGGTTGGCTGCGGGCTTCTTCTTTTTCTTGTTGTTCGGGGGCATTGTGCTTGTTCCTGGTTAGACGGTAGCTAGTATGTACCTATAGTTAGTGAGGGGGGGGGGGTAGAAACGCGATGAATTGAGATTGAAGGGGGAAATTCAGTGACCAAAGAAACTGTGTAAATTCCCCCAAGTAGAAAAGAAGTTGAAAAGAAGAAGAAACAAGAAGAATCCAAAGGTTCTTCTGTATGGGCGCAAGTGGGCGCGGTTGACGTCTGTCTCTGTCTCTCCCCACAAATAGAAAAAAAGAAAACTTTTATGACAACATCAACGGCAGAGCAAGCCAAAACTACTACTGAGTGCTCACGGCGACATGCCCTCTTGAGGAAATATGGACGACTTCCCATGGCAAGAGGTGAAATCCGGAGACCTGGAGAGTCTACAGCTTCTGATCTCTTCGAGTTCGACTGCTCGCAGAGTTCGTGCTCTTCAGGACCTTCGCGATAGAGCCGGTTTGGACCCCTCCGCCGCAATGAGAAAAATCACTGAATTGCTAATTACTTGACTGCTGTTATTGTATAGGAACTGAATTACCGCAAGAATCTCATCAAGATTTATTAGAACTGCTTTTTAGAACATATCCCTCCTATGTCGATCGTCCATCTCGTTACGCCGTCCAAGAATGCCTCCGCTCGCTTCTCAAGGCCCAACCGCCGACCGATAGCTCCAACGATGTCAAATATCTTATTCAGAGATTGAAGACGGAGACTTCTAAGCCCGGGCTGGCAGCTACGTCTGCGTTTGTGCTGGTGGAATGGTGTTCGGTGTTGCTACAGCATTTGACGGAGGAGTCGGAGACGCCGCTGGAGCCCGTGTTGGACATCATCGCCGCGGATGCGAAAGCGCTGGAAATCTGTTTCTCTGCGAATCCTAAACCTAGCGTTGTACAATCGGCACTCAGAATTACAAGACGTGCCTTGCGTACGGTGTTCAGGTCGACCCGGGGCGACGATGCCGTCCGTCAGTCTGTCAGCCGGTTGACCAGTGACTCGACCACAGGACAAAAAAATGCGCCTTTCCTAGGCGTGATATCTGGAGTTAGCGCTCGCCTTGCAGCCCAGAAGCCAGTCTTGGAGGAGCAGAAGAAAGCTATCATTGCATTCTACGCCAAGGAGTTGATTGGATCCCGGTCAGCGGTCCCGTCCCATATCGCCAATGGCCTGTCGGATTTCTTTGCATCGTTCGTGACGTACGAGGATGTTGAGACGGAATTGATCCCACCGTTCGAGAAGGCGATTCTGAGAGCCCCGGAAGTGTCCCTCGGGGGTCTGATCCCGGCCCTCTGTGCTGCGTTGCCAGAGCAAATCGATCTGTCAGACCTTCTGTTGTCGCGTCTCTTGAAGCATCTCGTCTCGAGCTTAAAGTCGAATAATCCCGCGATCAGACAGGGTGCTGTGGGCTCTTTCCAGTCGTTGCTCGCCAAATCCAAGGCTGAGGGTTCGCTTCTAAAGATCGCAAGCGAGGTCGCCGGCCCTCTAAAGACCCAGAAGATCACCAACCCGGATCACCGTGCCGTGTTTGCTCAATCACTTACTGCTATGGTACCTTCCGTTGCACTTTCAACCGAAGTGATCCAAGGACTTGTTCCCGTTTTCGCCCGTGAGTCCAATGAGCCTGCTCTGGAACAAGAAGTCAAAGCGTTTAGCAAGCATCTTGCTTTCTTGGTCAGTTCTGCAGCCAAAGTTAGTGACGACGTGATCAACGCCATCGTGAAGGGATCTTCAGATAAGCGCGTTCCCTTCCGGAAGCTCTGGCAGCTTAATGTCGGAGAAGTGCTTTGGGAAACCGATTCGACGACCCTGGCTAGTTCCGAGGTCCAGCCACTCGTTTCCAAGTTCATCGCTAAAATGAAAGAAATGTTCAACGAAGTAGCTTCGAACCCTGTGCCGTCCGCCCAGAACGGCGCCCTGTCAACCGCCTACGTTTACCTGGCGCTCTTGGAGCGCGCAGGTTCTGACAATGAGACTTTGGAGGCGACAGTGGCTCAGTCGATGGTTCTGAATCCCAAACCGTCATTCCTCCTTAATCCCAGGGCCTACTCGAAACTGGCGTCCCAAGCTGAAATACAATGGGCCGTGCGAGCACTTGCGGCCGTTGCTTCTGGCTCCAAGTTCGAAGCCGCAGAGCACGCCGCCAAGGTCGCATGGGCCGAAGCCTTCATTTATGCAATCACAGCACCTGGACTCCACACCAACTTCAGAGAACAGTCTGCGCGTGCGTTGTCAGATGTCTACCTTAAGAAACCGGGAACAACTGGCCGCATCGTCATCGATGGTCTTTGGGCTTGGATCCTGTCTTCTAGAACCGCGGAGAAAGAATCTGCTCCAATTTCTGCAGGACCAGGAAATGAGGGTCTTTTGCACCTTGTGACTCGAGCTATCTGCCCGCCAGCAACCAGTCTCGAAAAAGGCCATATCTCTGAAATGAGAACTCAGCTTGTTGAGCTCCTCGTTCTATGCCGCCCTGAGATGATCCCTAAAGCTGCTTGGATTGCTTTGTGTTTGAGGACTGGCACAGACCCTGGCGATCTTGTCCGTGAGCTTCCTGACGAGTTCATGAAGCAATTGAGTCGCGTGCATGATGTAAGCCACATATTCCTCGCTCTCTATCGTTAGCCATAAAGGAAATTACTGATTAGTCCTAGGACCCTGTGCAATCTAAGGTGCCCCAAATCGATACGGCAATCTGGAGCGCAGCAGCAGACTTGGCATTCGTCGCGCCCGACACAATGATTCCTCAACTCGTCGACCAGATTAAGGATGATCTCAGCGCCGAGCGCCTGTCCAAATTCACGCCAACAGACGCTGCCATCGCCCGCACTCCCGAAGGGACAATGTTTGTCGATGTCCTAAGTACTAAGTCAAGGCAGCTTGACAAGAACACCAAGGATTATGACACTCTGAAATGGGAGGAAGAGCTCCGGGCGCAACTTGCCGAGAGGAAGGGCCAGACGCAGAAGAAACTCAAGCCTGAAGAACAGGCTAAAGTTAAGGCCCAGCTCGCCCAGGAAGCCAAGATCCGTGAAGAGGTGCTTTACGAGGTTAAGAGAATCGAGAGAGGCGCAGGAATCATCCAGGGTCTTGCAACAGGCCCTGCTACTGATGTAGAAGGCTGGATCAACCCTGCCGTGAGCTCCCTGCTTGCTCTCATGGAGATCAACGCGGGCATGTTCGTTGGTGATGTCGTGTCGAAAGCTTACGTTTCATGCGCTGACAAATTGTCGACTCGTCTGGCGACTCTCCGGCAATTTGTTGGTGTGGCCACGCTGCGGGCCATCGGGAGAACTTATCTTCCTCTTGAGATGGAAGTAGAGCCTCTTGGTGGTATGTGTTGTATTTGTACTATGCTGAATGTTGATGGTTGCTAACTGCCTCTATCAGAGCTCATTGCTAGGATCCTGTACCGTGTGCGGTTTGCGTCGGAGCAACGCCCGCTTGAGGAGGCGTCTTTGGCCTATCTTCTTCCCCTGGTTTTCCTGATTCTTAACCGGAACGGTATCGAAGAGAAGGAGGAGGGTGAAGGAGAACAGGTTTTGCTCGCTCTTGAAATTTTGTCTTTCCACTCAAGCTCATGTAAGTTTTATTGTCACAACTTGCCGTTGGCAAGCAAAGGCTAATATATGAACAGTCTCCGACAACCGCCTTCCTCGAGCCGAGGTCCTGAAGCACCTCATCTCGGCAATGCAGAGATATTCCCAGCATTACAAGCTGATCAAGGACACATTGTTCGACCTTTGCCGAAGCATCTCGGCAAATATCGGACAGGAGGAGCTGCAAGCTCTTTTAGAGGGCACGATTGTCTCGGATGTCTCTGTCAGAACATCCGTTCTGCAAGCTATCAATGCCGAAATTGATTTGACGGATCTTGACTTCTCTGAGCACATTTGGCTTGCCTGCCACGATCATATTGAGGAGAACGTTGACGTTGCCGAAACGATCTGGGAAGAGAACGCCCTGGAGGTCGACGACTCTTCATACGGCAAAATCATTTCATACCTGGCTTCCAAGGACTCGCAGCTCCGTGGAGCGGCTGCTCGCGGATTGGCGCATGCAGTCGAACTCGACCGGTCCAAGTTTGCTGGCATTCTGTCAAAGTTACAGACCAAGTACGAAGATGAAGCTAGGCCAAAGGAACCCGAAAAGGACAAGTATGGAATGCCGAAGAAGATGGACATGACAGATATCTGGGAGTTCCGAAGTGGTATTGCCCTTGCTTTTGGTGCTATGACAAACGGTTTCGAGGGCGAGCAGATCGTGTCGTTCTTGCGCTTCCTCATCGAAAGAGGGCCGCTCATCGATAGGAGCTCTACCGTACGTGCTCAAATGGCCGAAAGTGGTAGATCTGTCATTGCTTCGCGTGGTCAGCAAAAGGTCGAGGAACTTATGCAGCTCCTAGAAACTACGCTCGAAACATCGGACAAGGCAACCCAGCAATCCGATTTACTCAACGAGGCAGTGGTTGTCCTCTATGGATCTCTGGCCCGCCATCTCAAGGCCGATGACCCACGTCTGCAGACCGTCCTCAAGAAGCTTCTTGCCACCCTACCTACTCCTGCCGAAAGCGTGCAATCTGCAGTTGCCGGCTGCCTGCCACCGTTGATCAGACTGTCTGCGTCTAAGAGCTCCAGCTATGTCCAGGAAATGCTTGATCAACTTCTTCAAACGAAGAACTATGCTACCCAGCGTGGTGCGGCGTACGGTCTGGCTGCTATCGTCAGTGGAAGGGGTGTCTCGACGCTGCGCGAATTCCAGATAATGAGCCACCTCAAGGAAGCAACCGAGAATAAGAAAGAGCCGCACCAGAGACAGGGTGCAGTCTTGGCTTACGAGCTTTTTGCCACGATTCTTGGACGCACCTTTGAGCCATATGTTATTCAGATCGTTCCTCAACTTCTTGCCCTCTTCGGTGATATGAGCATTGATGTCCGTGAAGCTTGCCTTGACGCTGCAAAGGCATGCTTTGCCAACCTCAGTTCTTATGGTGTGAAGAAGATTCTTCCCACTTTGCTTGATGGTCTCGATGATACGCAATGGCGTAGTCAGAAGGGGGCTTGTGAGTTGCTTGGTGCCATGGCCTATCTTGATCCCCAGCAACTTGCAACAAGCTTGCCTGAGATCATTCCTCCTCTCACGATTGTGCTCAACGACACCCACAAGGAAGTGCGCAATGCTGCAAACCGCAGTCTTCAGCGATTCGGCGAGGTCATCAGCAACCCTGAAATCAAGAGTTTGGTGAACGTTCTTTTGAAGGCCCTGAGCGACCCGACCAAGCACACGGACGAGGCTCTGGATTCTCTTATCAAGGTGTCTTTCGTTCACTATCTCGATGCTCCCTCTTTGGCACTTGTTGTCCGTATCCTCGGGCGTGGTCTTGGTGACAGATCGGCAACCAAGCGCAAGTCTGCCCAGATTATTGGTAGCTTGGCTCATCTCACTGAGCGCAAAGATCTTCTTTCGCACCTGCCTATCATCGTTTCTGGCTTGCAGCTGGCAATTGTTGATCCTGTGCCTACCACTCGTGCTACCGGTTCCAAGGCTCTTGGTTCACTTATTGAGAAGCTTGGAGAGGATGCTCTTCCCGATCTCATTCCCAACCTCATGGCTACGCTCAAGTCCGATACTGGTGCAGGCGACAGATTTGGATCTGCCCAGGCATTGTCGGAGGTTCTTGCAGGTTTGGGTACGACGAGACTCGAGGAGACTCTGCCAACTATCTTGCAGAATGTGTCCAGCTCCAAGGCTTCTGTTCGTGAAGGCTTCATGACTCTCTTCATCTTCCTTCCTGCCTGCTTCGGTAACAGCTTCGCCACCTATCTTAACAAGATCATTCCGCCGATCCTTGCTGGTCTGGCTGATGATGTTGATTCGATCCGTGACACCTCTCTCCGGGCTGGTCGGTTGCTGGTCAAGAACTTCTCTTCCAAGGCGATTGACTTGCTTCTGCCAGAGCTTGAGCGCGGTCTTGCCGATGACAGCTACCGTATCAGATTGAGCTCCGTCGAGTTGGTTGGAGATCTTCTGTTCAGTATCACCGGTATCTCGGGCAAGGCCGAGGCCGAAGAAGAGGAAGAGGAAGCGACCCAGGCCGGACAGTCTCTGCTCGAGGTTCTGGGAGCCGAGAGAAGGGACAAGGTCTTGTCTGCTCTGTTCATCTGCCGCTGCGATACTTCTGGTCTCGTCAAAAGTGCAGCGATGGCCGTCTGGAAGGCGCTTGTTGCGTCACCCAAGTCTCTCAAGGACATGGTCCCCGCTCTGTCCCAGCTCATCATCCGTCGCCTCGGTTCGTCGAACATGGAGCACAAGGTTATTGCAAGCAACGCCCTTGGAGACCTTATCAAGAAGGCTGGAGAATCAGTTCTGGCTACCTTATTGCCTTCCCTCGAGGAGGGTCTGCGTACCTCACCAGATGTCGACGTCAAGCAGGGTATTTGTATTGCGCTGCGCGAGGTCATTACCTCTGCTTCCGTTGATGCCCTTGAGGACTATGAGAAGGTCCTCATTTCCACCGTCAGAGTGGCCTTGGTTGATAACGACGGGGACGTTCGTGAGGCTGCCGCTGAAGCGTTTGACGCTCTTCAGCAGATCCTGGGCAAGAAAGCTGTCGACCAGGTTCTGCCTTACCTCCTGCACCTCCTAAGAAACGACGAGGATGCAGAGCAGGCTCTTTCTGCGCTCCTGACGCTGCTCACCGAACAGACTCGTGCCAACATCATCCTGCCCAACCTTATTCCGACTCTGCTCACTCCTCCTATTTCTGCGTTCAACGCCAGGGCCATTTCCTCTCTGGCCCAAGTGGCATCCTCTGCCATGACTCGTAGACTGCCAACTATCTTGAACTCTTTGATGGATGGCATGATTACCACCGAGGACGACGACCATCGTCAAGAGTTGAGCAATGCCTTCGATACTGTTCTTGTGTCTGTTGATGAGTATGACGGTCTCAATGTCATGATGAACGTTATGATATCTCTCTTGAAGCACGATGACCACAAGCGCCGGGCCAACGCAGCACTGCATCTCGACAAGTTCTTCTCGGACGCTTCACTCGACTACTCCAGATACCACCAGGACCTTATCCGCGTTCTGCTCATCTCATTCAGCGACTACGACGCGGACGTTGTCAAGGCTGCATGGACTGCTCTGAGCGGCCTCACCAAGCACATGCGCAAGGAGGAAATGGAAGTGTTGGCCATTTCTACCCGCCAAATTTTGCGACAAGTCGGTGTCCCTGGATCAGACCTGCCGGGCTTCAGCTTGCCTAAGGGTATCACTGCTGTCCTTCCGATATTCTTGCAAGGTCTCCTCAACGGTACCGTGGACCAGCGTACACAGGCTGCTCTTGGTATCGGCGACATTATCGACCGTACGAACGCCAATTCGCTGAAGGCGTTCGTCACCCAGATCACCGGTCCTCTGATTCGTGTTGTGTCCGAGCGTTCGGTTGACATCAAATGCGCCATCTTCTTCACCCTCAACAAGCTCTTGGAGAAGATCCCGCTTGCTGTCAAGCCATTCTTGCCGCAACTCCAGCGTACCTTTGCTCGTGGTCTTGCGGACTCTACCAGTGAGACTCTGCGTAACAGGGCCGCCAAGGGTCTTGGTATCTTGATTACCTTGACTCCTAGGGTTGATCCTCTTATTGCAGAACTCATCACTGGTTCGAAGACGCCCGATGTCGGTGTGAAGAACGCCATGATGAAGGCCCTTCAAGAAGTCGTTGGCAAGGCTGGTTCCAACATGAGCGAAGCCTCCAAGAATGCTATTCTTGGACTTATCGACGCCGACACCAGCGACCAGACTGGTAAGTGTATACAGCCTACAGTCCACAATTACAATTCTAACATGCTATTAGACTCCGTGGCCATTACAAATGCCAGGCTGCTTGGTGCTCTCGTCAAAGTTCTTCCTGCTGCCACTGCTGGGCCGCTCATCAAGTAAGTTGACTACGATATCGCAGGTGGTGAAGCAAGTGCTGACTACGTTAAAGGAACCGTGTTCTCGTATCCCAGGCTTCTCATGCATCTATCCTCGGACTCAATGCGTTGCTTGTTGAGTCGCCATCGTCTCTGATGGAGAACTTCGCAGCTGAGACACAAATTGCTATTTGCCAGGGCTTGTCGCACCAGGACGTAAGTTTTACTCAGTTCTAAACAGCAATGCAAGGACAATGCTAACTCGAAGCAGACCTTTATCTCCGATAACAGTGCTCTTGCTCTCGGTAAATACCTGCTAGTGGAAGATGAGCACCGCAGCTTCGAAACAAACAAGACAGTCATCGAGGCCTTGGCATCGTGCATTAAACCGGGCACCCCCTCTGACACCCGCCGGTTGGCTCTGGTGGTGATCCGGACCGTCAGCCGACTGCACCCCGAGCTTACCCGACCCCATCTGGCCCTCCTCGCCCAGCCAGTCTTCGCCTGCGTTCGCGATCTCGTCATCCCCGTCAAGCTCGCAGCCGAAGCAGCTTTCCTCTCCATTTTCTCCGTGGAGGAGTCTGAAAGCGCCGTCTTCGACAAGTACATGGCCGGCCCTGGCGCGGAACTCCCGCCGGGACCCAAGCGGAGCATGTCGGACTACTTCAAGCGCGTTGCGCTACGTCTTGCTACACAGGCTAGGGAGCGCAAGGAGGCTGAGGGTGGACATGGCGGGCTGGGTTTGTCGAATGACGAGATGGACGATGAGAAGGAACTATGGAGTATTGGGAAGGTTGACCTTGGGGAAGTGGCATTCGATGAGTGATTTTCTGAGCCTATCGAATATTGTGGATAGATGTTGCATCGGATGTATATGTTATTTTAAAAGTTGTTCGAATACATTGTTCTTATTCGTCCTGTCTGTTGTCCCATAGTTACTATGACATACCCGGTATGTGTCACGTGACCCATAACTAAGCGACCCACCACGATATCCGAGCATCCAAGTCGATGGACAGAGTTAAAAACAAGATACCATCATCTCAACCAGAAATAGTATCCAAAAGATGAAGAATTGTACGGGGTATTTGTACACAAAATAGAATGATCTCCAGCTTGTTGCGGCTCTAATCGGAAAGCGTATGGGGCACAAGCCCTAGAGTGGAGCCACTCGCTTAGGGGCACAGTAGATTAGCTAATCACCCGTGTATCTCAAACTCCTCACTGGGAATTCTACCCGTAGTCGAGTGCAACGAACACCATCCGCCAACGACCGTCGATACGCCGACATCAAGATGTGAGTTCCATGTGCGAATCTGATATTGTCATTCTACGGGGAATTATTGTTCTTGAGGTTTTTTCCCGACTTCAAAAAACCCCTCCAAAATTCCCTTTCAGAATGATGTATCAGGGGGGCGACAGCCTCCGAACAAAAAAAAAATCATTATAGAGATCAATACGATACTGACATCTGTATCTACACAGGGTCAACCTTCGCACCCAGAAGCGCCTCGCCGCCTCCGTGGTGGGCTGCGGCCAGCGCAAGATTTGGCTCGACCCTAATGAGATGAACGAGATCTCCAACGCCAACTCCCGCCAGACCGTCCGCAAGCTCGTCAGCGATGGCCTCATCATCCGCAAGCCCGTGACCATGCACTCCCGTGCTCGCGCCCGTGAGCTCAACGAGGCCCGCAGAATCGGCAGAAACCGCGGCCTGGGTAAGCGTAAGGGTACCAAGGAGGCCCGTATGCCCAGGTATGCTTTTCTTCCCTACCTTTCGCGATCGATCGGCCACATGAGAAGAAATCAGCGGATATATGATATTAGAAGGAAATACTGATGGATTTTTTTTTTCTCCAGCCACATCCTCTGGATGCGCCGCATGCGTGTTCTCCGTCGCCTGCTCGTCCGCTACCGTGCCTCTGGCAAGATCGACAAGCACCTCTACCACGAGCTCTACCATCTGAGCAAGGGTAACACCTTCAAGCACAAGCGCGCTCTCATTGAGCACGTAAGTTTTCCCGCGTTGGATGGATGTACTTGGTTTTATTGGAGGGAAGGAGGCTAGTTGGCAGTACGAGATGCTGACCTAAATACAGATTCAAAGGGCCAAGGCTGAGAGACTCCGTGAGCGTACTCTCAAGGAAGAGATGGACGCTAAGCGTGCCAAGAACAAGGCTCTCCGTGAGAGACGGCAGGAGCGTGTCGAGTCCAAGCGCAACGCTCTGGCTGAGGGCCAGGAGTAAAAATGCTCTGATGTTTGGCGGTGCGGAGGTTGAACTGGACGAATTAATCAGCCCATCGAACCCGGTCGACTACGTTGTTTTCTTTTCTCGAATTTGGGCTCGGTGGCTTGGTTCATCCGGGACGGGTACAACATGGCAACCTGGAATGGGGTTCGGGAACAGAGAAAATGTGATGCATCTTTTACTCGACAGAGGGAAAGAGAATGGAGAAACAAAAAAATTTATAAACCCAAAACAATGGCATGGCGCTTTGTGTGATACGAAACTTTGCGGAATTTTTTATTTTCTTCTCGATATATTCACATTTCTCTTTTTCCAGACTCCATCTAACATGACGCCCGATGATGATCCCTCCATTTCGACCTCCCGTGTCCTTCCATTCAGGTTAAAATTGTTATTATAATGTCGTAACGGTGTTTTAACTATGTATTCAATGTACTGGGTTCAGTCTAATTCCATAGCATCAACCCTTAAGCCGACCTTTGCAATACGCCATGCAGGTCTTGAGATGTGAATCACAGGCACAAGACGTACAGAGTGCACGCGCTCACTTACCCCACCTGTACTTTTCTCTGCGGAGTAAGTCCCATCCGTCCCGCATTGATGATGGCATGGCCAACGGTGATGGTACAGCAACGATCGCTGTTTGTGTATTGTGTATATTGCATGGGTCTTCGTGATGGTGTTGTGATGATGGTTTTTTTTTTTTTTTTAAAAAAAAAAAAAAAAAAAAAATTCTACATCCCAAGTCAAAAGCGAAAGAATAAAACAAGATATATTCAACTCAGGGTATCAACAAACTACACACTATAGTTACTTATGCACGCAATGCAATGCTTAAATACAGAGTACAAACAAAATCAAGCCAAATCCTTCCCGTAAGCACTCAATGCCATCCCTCGCTGTTTTCGCGCTTAATATCATAGCTCATGTCACATCTCAAGACATGCTCCCAGAGCACGCCTTTAATCAAGTTTAAACTCCCTAATAACATAATTACGCCCGTGAATGCACCGCATCCACAGGGACCTCTAAATCAAACGGATCACTCCTTGCACTCCTTGCACTCCTTGCACTAATTCTCTTCGCTGATAGATCGATTACTCTTGGAGACGTAGCACTCGGACTCGATAACCGATAGCTGATCACCTGCAGACTGCCAACGGAGCTATTCCGACCAGGGAGTATGATTGTACTGCCCAGACTGTGGTCGCTACCGTATAGGGAGCGCGGGATGACGAGGCTGTTGTGTCCTTGTGGTTGCCATTCGATGATGTTTGGTTTTGAGGGGCGGATTTGTTTCCATGTTGGGCTGGTGTTGGCGGTGGTAGTGTTGTTATTTGGGGAGGTTGGGTCTGCGAAGGGGTTGAGTGGTATGGTGCCGGGACTCCGGTTGTCGAGTTGTGCCTCGATGCAGGCTTCTGTGGACTTGGAGAACGGGTTGTGGAAGAGGATTGGTTTTGGAGGTGTTAATTCAGGCGTATGTGTAAATTGGATACGGTTGGGCGGTGATTGCCCGGATGCCGGACTGGCGTGGAAGGAGAACGCTGAATGGTGACGCGGTGCCCAGCTGGTCAGGGTGGGAACAGAATTCCGATCAATCCGCGAAAGTTTTCCATTCGAGCTTAGACTCTTGGTATCGCCGTACACCCGTCGCCGGCGCCGGAGTAGAAAGAAGCATATTAAAGCAACAAATGCAATGAAGCCAAGCACACCCAGTATGCTCCCAACTATTACGCCGGGAAGATTATCTTTGTTAAGACCATCTGTGTTTTGAGTCGAGCCGTACCCAGCGGATCCTGTCCCTGCTGTTGTCGTCGCCGAAGATGTTGTGCCAATAGAAGACGATGCATTATGAGAGGCCCCGAATATCCTGGAATCGACGGTAGGTGTTGATGTATCTGCCTTTGTCTTTCCTGTATACGGGGTTTCTGATGCCACTGGCGTAGGAGGGAAAACGCCAACATTCGGCGGAGAGGTGACTTGAACCTCCGGAGTTAGCGAGATAGTCGGGTGGATCTTCTCCGGAGGGTCGAGCAACGTCGACGGCCTAATAGAGAAAGTCGAAGGTGTTGAATACGCCCCCGATAATGCCAGAGATGACTGGGGCGATGGAGTCGCGAATAAAGAGAACAAGGTCGATGCTACCGGTGATAATGGCCCCGGAAAGGCCGTTGGAGCAGACACTGGAATAGAAACTCGTTTAACTTTGGTATATCTCAAGCCGCGATTGAAGACGACCGATGGACTCGACATCTCGCCGATTTCGTGGGGCAACGGTGCTCTGCTAAACCAGCGAACACAGAGAATTGTCAAGGACCACACGGCATGGAGGGCTCAGAGGGAATGGCGAATATTAGGTGGCGCGTAATAGTTCGTGAAGTATTGCGATATTACTGGCGCAAGGGGCAGTAGACAATAGTAAACAAAAGAAAACTGAGGGGGAAGGGGAGGAGGAAAAGAAAAAATGAGAAAAAAAGGTCTGGAGAAAGACACGCATAATTCTGATGCTATTCCTATTCCTATTTTTGCTTTCCTGGTAGAGAATGGGCAGAAGGACCCAGCGTAACCCCGGAGGAGAGCCATGACAATCCGTGTCAGAGACCCTCACCAGATCGAATTCTGCTGTTTCAGGATGAACGGCGAGGCACTAGGAACGTGGCAATGCACCCGGACCACAGAGTATTGAGAGATCAGAAACTCGCACCATAAAAAGGGGCGGGATCCTTCTTGCAATTCCTTATAATTTGATAGCGCACATCCAAGAAGCAGACAAATATTCAGTCGATGATAGCGCTAGAGATAGGCCAATGCGGAGTGAAACGAGCAGGATTAGCAGCATTTAAACTCGACCCGGTGTGAAACAAGCGCTTAGCAAGACCAATGCAGATATTCAGCCGGGTAAGCCGAAGTTTGTGAGGAACTAGACGGAAGACTCGGGCTGATAGCAGGCTGAAACAGCTGGGAGGATGTGACAAACCAGCAATGGATAGTCAGTGGGTTGGTCTCATGATCACTAATCCCCGAAAGGGATCAGTGCATGGTCATTGGAGATCAAACACTGGTGTGGTTGGTCTGATCGTCTATACTTTGTCCATTTATGCGTGCGAACATTGCTTTGTTCCGAGATAGTTTTTCCGTTCCGCGCGAGACTGCCCTCTTCCTTCCCGATGTAGATAGCTTCAGTTAAACCTCTTCTTCGATCGCCTCGGCATATCCAAATTGCTAATAGTTTCGATTTATGGTAAATATAACATTCCTTGGAACGGATACAGAATATCAGAAGTCGATGATAAAAGGATCTACTCTGCACCGGTTTGTTCCTCTTCTTCGGTTTTTCCTCCTGCTCATTGCACCAATAGCACCAGAGCATCTCCGTGGCTGCCTTCGTAGCGACAGCCTAAGTTGTGCCAGTCTGAAATATCAAACCTGGATATAACGACCCGAACTTCTATCAAGTCCCGAGAATTCCTTCAAAAGATTTTGGGACGTACGCTTGGGACGGTCTGATTTGACTGGACGCTATTCCTGCTTGAATATACCAATCAAGAGTGGCTTGCTGTCGTTCTTTGTCTAAAGACACTATTTCATCATGTTCTCAAGGGATTCGTAGTTCGAATCGTTCCTGTCGACCATGCCTCGAAATCTGTCCACAAAGTCAGGCCCTTTGACTTCTTTGAAGTCATCGCCATTTGGTTGAATTCTTGGAAATCTCTCAAAGTGATTCAAACCCGATTCACTCTTAAAAACAAAGCCAACAGATCCAATGTGTTGATCACATCCATTGTCGAAGAATCTTCCATATTGCATTGGCGACAGGAAGTATTCCAACCATGACAGCTTAAATGTCGAAGCCCCTAAAAAGGACTACAGGAAATTTTGCGCTCAATAATTCATTTCAAATTTTGCAAAGGGCATTTCTCAGTTAGACATAACCTGATCCTTGCAATATGGTGACTTCGATTGGTTGAATTGTCAGCTTATCGGCCATACCCTTGGTATATCCCTTCATCTATTCAATAATTTTTTGAATCTATCATCCTTAGAACCCATGTAATATGAGATTGCGGAGCTTGCTCCATCGGGTCCATCCTCGCGTGCACTGGAATCAGAGGTATTTATTGTCGACGATGTTTACCAATAGTATCCTTACACTGTATACATATAGCTGTTCCTAATCCGAACTATATAATATCCACAATCTCAAACTCTTCTTGGTCGATCCCAGGGATATAAACACAAATTGACTGGTGTCCTACCATAACAGCGGCTGCGGAAACATGCTGTTAGTTTCGTTACGTTTCCATGAAGCTGCGTGATATCATCCAGGAGACTTCTACATGCGCCGCCAACATAAATGCCTGATACGGGTAATTGCATTGCAGACGACATAGAAAGCGCGTATGGGCCTGTACAGCTCATACATGCCAGTTGATTGATAGGGAAGTATCCATGTATGGCTTGCTTGCAGATACGGATAGCCTCGTACTTTGTGTGGTTGATCAATGGAAAGCTCTAAGATTGGCCTTGCTCATGGCTAGGAAGCCAGAAGCTATAGTCAGTATCCTAGCTAATCTCTGGCCCGATGATATGAGAATTAACTCCAGCTTACTGGATGCGGCAATATCGTTGGTACTTTTGAATTGCATGGGAATTGTTATCAGAGGCAGTGCACTTCCGAGTCGGCAGGCAGTGTCCAGTTACAGTGTCCAATGGTTGGAGTATATGAGTTTTACTGGATGATGGTATGGTTTTCCGTCCCGCCCATATGGATTGGGCATCGTCACTTTTCTCGAGGCTGCCGTTTTTACAACCGGAAGATATCGAACACGAGCATGCCTTGACGGGGAAACTAGATCAGTATCGGCGGGGCGATACGGTGGGAAAGGACGAATATGGAAGTGGAACAAGAAAAAAAAAAAAAAAAAAAAAACCGATTGATGGTAAACCCATCGATGTAGGAGCGCGTGTGTGTATACCAACCGGGCATACACGGGTCTATCTCTCTAGTCATTCACAAGTCATCCTTATTTCCTTTGTAACCTTTGCTTCAAGAGAATGAGGTATTACTTCAATTGACTGATTTGCATGCTTTATTCTAATAATAATAAAGACCCGGTGAGTGAGAATAAACCACGATGCCATGTTGGTGCACAATTTCTGTCATTCTATCCATCAAGCATCACCATCATCGTCATCCCTGCCTCCAGTAAGCGCATATGGTCCGGAGACTCCACCGGACCTTAGCCATTCACCCTAAGAGAATGTCGATTTAAGGTAACTATAATACTAATAGACTCCCTTATCCCACTGCTCCGAAAATATAGCTCAAATGGTTCAGGGAGCGGTTGACCTGCGAAGACGCTCTTCATGTATACTCCAAACATAACTGCTCAACAGACTTGGACGACCGTACGGTCAAGAGTTGTCACGTATGATTCATACTTCTCATATCTGATACTACTAGCTGCTGTCGGAGAGCGAACTTGTCGTTTCAGGGTTAAGCGTGCCCGGTTGGCAAAACATCTACCTAACGATGAAAACGAACTAGCGTGGATATCAGGTGATGTCATTTGCCTTTGTCATGTGACCGGACCGAGTTCCGGATGGTGCAAAAATACAGTACTTTAAAGGATGTAGACAGAGACAGTACTTTGATAGACGGATGGGCAATTATTTTCAGCGGCATCCCCGCTTCAAGCTGTTATTATACTTGTAGTGGTACCTATGTAAGTGTCAACCGTTGCAACGGCCCGATGCGAAACCCCGCTGTGACAGCATCAACTAGCTACTCTGTACACAAGAAAAGAGAGTAGTGAATTCATAGCATTAGTCAATATGGAAATAAGAACCATAAACTTTTTCATAGTGAATACAACGGAGAAAATAGAGAAAAGGCTGCCCAGTATGAAACAAAACATAACACCGCGATCCAACCAACAACTCCTGGACCGGATGCCATATTGTCGTCCCCACGTCCAGCACGTCCCCTCCAGTTTTCACTTCCTCTCCTTTTGTCTTGACACCTACGCACAGTCAACTTTCTAACATAAAAATCGATTGTTTCTGCGACGTTCAACCCGCTGTTTGATCCTCCCTTTCTGGTCGTGTTCCTGGGCCCTGTTCCTGAAGTCTGTTTGGGTCGTTCCCGCCATTAGCACCGCTGTGTCTTGATGCTATCGTGGAATAACTTGCAACACTTGCGATATCCCATGACATTCAAGAGATAGAAAGAGACAGGAGACTCGAAACAATATCAGCTGAGACTACTCGTCAATTGAACATGTTCGGTGCCTTTGGTGGTCTGGGTGGGTTTCCGCCTTGTTTCCTCAGTTTCCCCATTTTGTCTAGGATTCCGCTAACTCTACTTTATACTAATTATAGGCCTCCCTGTAGGTACCGATCCAGAAAGAGAACGTCCCCCTCCCACCGCCGCGACCCCTCTCGACTTCCCCATCTACAACCTCCCCGACCCCGCAGAAGAAGACGCGGAACCCGCCCTCAAAGACCTATACAACGACTTAATCACCATAAAACGACCCCAGGATATCACACCATCGAGGTTCCGGGCGTTCAACCTGAAAGTGGAGTCGGAGGTCCCTGCATCGCGCATTGTTCGACATGACACTACGAGCTCCATCCCGCCATTGCCTTGTGAGGACAGTACGGCTGGAGAGGGAGACCAAAATGGCCAACCGGCACTGATGGGAAATGACAATCGGCATCCGGATAAAGAGCGGTTCGAAGGGTTGAGGAATGAGTTGCTGATTGAGAACGACGATGGGTTCCGGGAGGTTAGTCGGATGCCGCCGCGGGAGGGTCGTCAGAGGGTGAGGATCGCGCAGACGAGGAAGTTCTGGGTGGGATTTGAGCGGATGGCTCTGTATTGGGATACCAGTTTGGATAATTACTTTGAGCGTCCTGCTACGCCAGAGCCGCAGCCGGAGGATAAGGGAGATAAGATGCAGATGGACGATGACAACACACAAACATTGGAGAGAAATAAATCGATGGATGTCGACCAACCTGCACAGACGAATGGTAACGACTCCAATGGCGATTCAAGATCTCGAACTCCGGTGGCAAGGTACACTGGGCGCCGTGTGGGTGCCGGACACGAAATGCCCGAAGATGCCCGTGAGGAAACCGTTCGAGCCTTTGTCGAAATGGCCGCCTGGCCCTTTGGCTGCCAAGTCAGCATTCCCACAATTCCCCCACGGCTAGCTGTCAAGACACTGCTCTTTCCTGTCCGAATGACGTTCGAAACAGGCCGCTCACCTAAAGACCGAACACAAGCCCGGAGCGGCGTCCTAGAGGGTCCAGTTTTCGTTGGCCAATGCCGTTCCGAAACTGCCTTTCGAAATCCCGAGGAAAACCCCGGCTCTGGGATTGGTGACACCGGCGATGTATTCCGGGAGGTGGGTGCAATGCTACTCGCTGCTCAAGAACGCGCGCGCGAAGGAGTCACCGATGTCCGTCCTGGTGAGGGCCAATGGTGGACGACGGCACCCCGCTGGGGAGGGGGAACGAGCGAGGGGCCAGAAGGCGAGCATCACACCGAGGAGGATAGTAATAGCCACGAAAAGGAGAAACCACATAAACGGTCTAAATACGACCATCCGTTCCTGGCAATGCGGCGTCCACGGAGAGTGTCGAATGCAGATAGATGGAAGGCTGTGCAGCCGGGACCGAGTCTCTGGGAGAAAAGGATGAGGTATATGCAGATTGGGAAAACCGCGGGTAGTTTATACGATGATGTACGTCTACCAGCCCTGCCCGTGAGAAACACCATCTAACGACTTGACAGATCTACATGGTATCTTCAATCAACCACCACGTCTCCATCCTGCACCTACGCGTCCACCGTCGATATCTCGAAATTTTAACGACAGGAGAAAGCGACTGTACAACCGAGTCAGACGAGAACCAGCCATGGTACGTATTGAAGCTGCGGCGGACGAGATGGTATGACTTTTTCGAAGCGAAGGATCGCGTCGAGGCGTTTGAGGGTGTATGGCGGATTTTCCATTATACCTTGCGGAGGGCTTAGCTATGTGCATTCTGTCTGAGTGATTCATATCTATTTATTCTATTCATACCCGGAATGAAGTTGGGTGGAATTTTTGCATGATTAATGGATTTCTGATACTCGTACATACATTACCAGACAATGGATCCTTCTCTCGCTGTAACAAACCATTCCGGGATATAGCCGGGTCGAACGACGTTCTCATACCGAGATCGCCCTCCAAGAGTTTCAACTCTGCTCCATGAATCTTCCGCACGCTTCGTTGCGGTCCTGCTTTCTCCATATCCAAAGAACCAAAATACCAATTTGTGTCTCTCGTTGCCTGTAGCATGCCAATCAAGCAACATAGCCTTGCCCACTCACAATACCAAAAACTGACTAGCTTCGCTCAAGATCCGGAGTGGCAAGCTTCGTTGACGCTGAGCAGTCGAAAATTATCATCATCTTCTAAACACCTGGGTCGGGGAAATATGGACCCATCGGTTGATGTTTAAAATATGCCGCGGTGTCCACAATGACAGATACCCAGCAGCCAGAATACATGTCCCGATTCAACCGCGGGAAGAGTCTCCCTGTCATCGCCAACGCTAATTAGTACGGACACGGCCCCAGGATCTGGGGTCAAAGCGTCCCTAGAAAGCTTATAAAGCATAAGGATATAGTTAGTGAAGCTTTTCTGAAAAAGACCGCATGTCTTTGCCAATTAGTATGGATAATGCAAAAAATAGCTCTTTGGCTAGGACGCCGTTCGATTCAATCTCCATAGTTCAGATGAGATTTAATTCGGGGTGGCTGGGCAATAATCGAGTAGGCACTCGGGTGTCTTCGAACACAGCACAGCACCGTGTCATGGGCGACGAAGACTATGATAATGAGCTTAGGTGAGTCCCTGGAAATCAAATTGTTCGACTGACCTCTGCCTGGCTTCAATTCAATGTGAATCTTAAAAACACCCATATTGTAAGGACGTATGTGCCATGCTTGCTCTTGTATTTGGCACAAGGAAAGGCCAAATTTTTTGTTCTTCTTGATCTTAGGAGAACGCATGAAGCGAAAGCTATGCTGCTCTCCTGTTGAGTGTGGCGTTCCCTCACAAGATGCTTAGTGACTGATTTTCAGTCTGAAGCAGGCAACATTTGATAACATGTTTGTGCCATAGTTCTTTCTCCCATTTGATCATTCAACTTCTTTTAGAAGTCCAAATCATTGCTGCGGCCACTCGTTGGGTGCTTGCAGTGCATGGCCAATTGTTGTAAATCGTGCACTGGGGTGCTGGATTTACTGAGGGCAAACAGCACTCTCCCCTTTTTCACCATTAGCCAGACTATCGTTCCCACAGTGGTCCTCCAGGCATAAGGCGGAGCCTTACACTTGAGTCGATAATGTCTTTAATGGATTATTCCATGCCTTAAATGGTCTCCTGGCTCTCATTGTCGCCGAGAATTTAGTCAGCTGCATGTGTTTGAATTTCAACACCTCAGGTTTCAGAATCGAAATCATCAAGCAAGCTGCGTTCAAAATTTTGATGGGGTGCTGCCTGGGCTTTAAGGATTGTTCTCGCTGCTCAAGTGGCCCAGTTTTAGGAAAAATGTCTTGGAGTAATTTTCAGGCCTAACCCGCAAGAGTAATTGCACCTTTCTTTATCACCGGACTGGCAATTGCGTCGACTGGCCCATGGCTCGTGGTTGATTTAGATGCCATTCTCTGTGTGTATCCTCAGAGCTCCGGGAATTTCCAAGAGAGATAGCAACACAGAGAGCTTCTAACAACGATCCTCTGTATGGGGTAAGGCTGAGTTGGGGTAGTCATGCTATGTTTGCTGTGTGTTTTCAACAAGACTATCCTCGGGTTGCTCACCTGCAGTGTGCTAGAAACACAATTTTAACCATAATTTTTGTGGACTCGGGCTTCAGTAAACACCACGTCTTACTCCAGTAAAGTGGGATGGGTATTTCAGGCTGCAGCACATATCGACGCCATGACTTGACCTCGTCCTTCCAGGACTCAGCGACTTTTCCGACAACGCAGAGCATCCTCAGTCAGCGCGCCACGAGTCGCTGTTCTAGAGTCACTTTATAGCATATTTGTTGGAGATTTGTTAAGTTGACCCGTTTCTAAGATCAGAGAAATATGTAAAACCCCTACCCTTCTCGTGTTTCTATCTGAACATAAATCCATGGTGAACAAACGGTCGGAATTTGAACCTCGAGTGAGCTGTTGAACCTGGCGTCTACTCATGTTTTTCTTTTCTTTTCTCCCTCATTAAGGCGGTTCATGGGAGGCCCAGTTCATTTCCGATCTCTACTCCATTGGGAACTGTATAATGTCGTGGTTGTCAATAATATTCCGATTGAGGCACATGTATAAGGAATTGAACCTTAGGCTTAAATCCCGATCAGGATGGCTTTAATGTGGAAAGTTATCAGCTTAATGAAAAAGAGCAGTCTAGGTAGCATGGCGTTTCTGACGGTGTTTAAGGATCCGATCACAGTGGTAGTACGCCATAAGTTGAGCACATTGATTGGCCTTTTTATAGCTTTTGACCAGGCTCACGAGCCAGTATCTTACCTTGTCATTCATCCTCCAAGGATGTTACTTGGCTTTGCTTTATTGTTTAAGACCAGCAGGACGAGTTTAGCAGTCACTCTCCTGTTCGTGAAGCCATTGCTCCATGTTCGGCCGGACTTGACACAGTCATTCTATTTTCTGGATATGTTCATAAGTCACTCTGAGCTACAAGGTGTATCAGTCCCCTTTGTGAAAGAATTGCCATGCAAGGTCATGGGTCCTTCCCAGATGCTCCCGGCTGAGCTCTGTGTTGCCATAGACCAAACACTTCTTTGCTTTTTGCCAGTTCATATATGCAAGCATAAATTGGACCAATAGCAGGACAGAGGGACTTGTTCAAGCACCAGTCCTGAATTCCCAATCTTGTCCATCACGTGCATATAGGGCTGTATGAACCATCGTGAATGTCGAGACGACAAAGCCTTCACAGTAATTTACCATGCAATTGGATTTTTGGTTATGCTTAGGTGGTCGGTATATGCTGACGGATATAACGTGGCATTTTGCTGGTTATTGTGGGTGTTTGTCTGATTTTACTGTCATACTGATGATGTGTGACGATACTGGCATGTGATGCATAGGCATACGTTTACATTGCTCATGTTGCCTTTTTCAAATGAAATAGCAGCCTGCACATAAGAGTACAAGGATGGAAGTACCGAAATAGAACAGTACCCTACTCCATACAGCATCACACAACGATCAATAAATGCAGCCTCGCAGGAACTCCAACTAATATTCGAGGCCCGAGCACTCCCAAGGGTAATCCCGATCCAGTCAATTCCCCTATAGCACTCTCGGCATGGAGTATATGCATGCATCTGTATGTGATGCTATGTGTACTTACAAGTAGAGTCTACGTCAGCACGCACAGATCGCTCAACGTCAATATGGTCGTCGGTTGACAGGTATACTTGATTGTTTTCTGGAGGTGCTCTCGGATAGCAAATTGGCTAATCATAAACATTTATTACTTGAACAGGAATACCGAACTAACCAAGTAACATGGGGTATGTGATAAGCAAGCAAATCCATCGCTAAAAGTACTGAATCCTACAAACCGAATCCTCGTACTTTTACAAGGGCATCCCCGGCATTCAACACGACTCCTGCATCCTGGCATCCCTCAGCACTTTATGTGTTCCTACAGGGTAATAATTATCATCCTTTGTTCTACCCCGTATAGCATATAGTTATGTCAGTAAGCGAAAGCGCGGAGATGACCGGCGCACTCGGGGGGCTGGCGGGTTCCAGACCGGTGGAATGTGATCTATCGCGATGATTGTTGTTTATCCTGTCAAAATACGGCGCGGTAGGGTTTGCCAACCAATTAAACATTCTTATTAGGATTGATGGTTGTACTTTGGCAGGCTGGTATGCTGTACAGGAAATTAGTCCGATCGGGACAGATTGGGTTCATATACATATCCAAGGTAGTCGGTGTAAGCCCCATCCAGAGTATCTGAACACTGCAATATCTACATACAATGGAGTATTACGACTACAAGTACAGAGGACAATTGATACACGTGACTGCACAACACCACCCCCGACCCCATCGTAACGAATCCTCCGACCCCAGATCAACTGGAGAACGCACCGTTCCCTTGCTTCTCATGTCTGTGCACTGAACTGCAAGCGATCCTGCCTTGCAGATAACGTTGACAAATTGTGCCGGTGATTCTACGAGTGTTCGATGAGATCCTGGCAGTGTCACTACTGTGTATTCCGTACAGTTAAAAAGCATGCTAGAACTGTGGCAAATGATCCATCATGGCATTTTGAACTGAATAGGGGGTTGTTGGTTCCAATCCACTGTGTTTTATTATTCCCGTATGGAGCGGATGACCGGACTAGTGGCGACTGCCGAATCATATCCGAGTCCGATATATCGCCAACAAGATTCCGAAGGGGGATCGGGATCCATAAACCAGAGGCAAAAACCCAACCCAACGTTTCGGTGCGATGGATGTGACGGGGGGCCCGTAACTTACCAAACCAGGAGATCCGTGGAAATCCTTGACGGGTTCCTGATTAGAACCGTGGATATTATAACCCCTTGCTGTTGGACCTGTATAACCTGGTTTTCAGCGAGTTCCCGTATACGGCGTATACACACAGAGAGTAGGTTGTGACGGGTATTTGCTTCGGGCATGGTATCTGCATGGCATGGGACCCCTTGGGCTGGAATGTTTCAAGATCTTGACGATGACTGAGAGTAGTAATAGTAGAATGAAGTCTCCGGCCATATGGCTGCTAGTCTCGCTCTATTGTGTCTATTGGAGTCGGAGCATGCTACTATACGACAGAAAGCTCAACTGCCCCATAAATTTTCTTTTTTTGACTCCACATATATTCATCTATCAAAGTAGAAGGGAAAAAAAATTGAAAGAAAAAATAAAAACGATCTGTCAATTCAACACCGACCTTTTTGCTGGGAAAAGAAAAAGATAGAACACTGGGAGAACCCAGAGAGAAGACCGGTAGTAGATCACTTTACTACAATTCAGTGATAGTGATTTTGAAGTTGTGCTTTTTCTTCCCCTCCTCTTCTTCTCATCTTTCTCTCCCATCTGTGTCTCTCTTCTCGTCTTTTCTTCTTTTCCCTCTTACTCGTACTGAATCCACTCTGTGGCTCAAATCACTTCTGATCGACCCGATAATCAACCACCATCTCCTCTTCTCCCTAACTCCCGCTCTCCCTCTCTTTTCCTCTTGCCGGGTGTTCTCTTTTCTCTTTCTCTCTTGTTCATTTCCCATTTTCTCGACGATTTGGTTTTTGCTTTTCTGTGGCCATCTCAAGGGGGGCAGACTTGCACTTACCACTGAAAGAGTTTACTTTTCGGACTCACCGATTGTCCTTTACTTGCCCCATCTGTTCATGGGATTGTCCAGCTGAAGCTACCTGACTAGCTAGTACGTTCTTTGCCTCTCTCTCTCTCTTTCTCTCTCTTCCTCTCTCTTCCTCTCTTTTTCCGCCCTGATCGGATCGCGCGACCGCCATATCCGCTTCCCGCTTCTGGGAAAAAATTGAACGATCCTAACACTGACTCTTGGTGATACTTATACTTATTGTTTTCTTTCTTATAGATTTTTATTGTTTTTTATTATTATTATTGTTGTTATTTATTGTATTTCCGACTCTCTAATCTCCTCACGAAACCCCCTCTTGCGCCTCGCACGTTTCTCATCTCGAGCACGGATTCTCTCAAAAACCCGCTCTCAGCTACCCACCACTACTCCTACTCCCCCCGAAGCTAAACAACATCATGTCCTGTTAACTATCCGCTTCCCCAAAACAAAAAACAAAACAATTATGGACATTATGGCCACGGAAGACAAGAAGCAACCACTCTCTTATTCCGCCGCTCCTCCCCCGCCGTCCATGCACCGCATGCCTCATCCCATGGAGGCGTCGCATGCCCCGCCGCCTCCTCCCTCTGCTGCTGCCGCCGCGGCTCATGCTATCTATGAACCATGGCGCACTGCTCCTCCTACCTATCCTCCTCCTTCCTTTGATGATCGTCGTGCTTCAAATCCTCCCCAGCCTCCTCTTCCGCCGCCTCACGCGTATCCTGTTATACCCAACCGTGAATTGCCGCAATTACCGCCTGACGGCCCATATGGGCGGCCCAACAGTCTCCCTGGTCCGGTCACTACGCCTCCCGATGCTCATGGACCACCACCCCCGAACTATCGCATGAACGGTGCTCCTCCCCATGAGGCTCCGCCGCACTCCGCTCCAGCTGATTATCGCGCTCGTTTGCCATATCCTCCGCCAGAGCAACCTAGCAATGGCGAACCCGTACCAGCACATTCGATCCCTCCCGCGCAATATCCAACTCCGGTCCCAGCACCAATCCCACAGACCCCGACACCGTTTGATCCTCCTTACTACCAAAGTCAAGCTTATGGCATTCGTCAACGAAAGGCTGCGCGTGCGCAACAGGTACGGAGCTTTCAATTTTGTACCAGACGCGTCTTTACTGACCCATGACAGGCCTGTGACCAATGCCGAGCGAGAAAGGCTAAATGCGATGAGGGTCGACCATCATGTAGTCATTGCAAAGAAAATAACCTCCCTTGTGTTTACAAGGAGGTTCCACCACACAAGTATGTGTTCATCAACATTTTGAGTTTGGCAACCATACTAACCTAGAGAAGACAAGAGAAAGCGACCCAGCTCCTTTTGGATCGGATGCAGCAGTTGGAAGATCGATTGGAAGAGCGCATGACCCAGCTACAGTCCATTCAGGTCGAACAAGGCTCCCAACTGAGTCGAATTCTCGCAACAGAGGCCAAGATGAAGGAGGCCCGCGTGGTATCTAACAAAGACCCCGCTCGACCTACGTCGCAAAAGCAAGCCACTGAACCGATACCGAAACCCGATATGCCGGATGTTCTGCGCGAGCAAGAGAGCAAGGAGGAAAGTACCTCGTTCGTTGTGGGCCAGAAAATCGATGCCGCTGAAAATGTCGAGGATGGCCTCAAGGATGACGACGACGGGGAGCTGTCTATCCCCGTCGAGCACACCACCGCGGCGCACAAGCTTCTCATGTGGCCCTCCATCAAGAGTCTTTTATTCCCCAGAGAGTACGATGAGGATTATGTCATGAAACTCGAGGAGGGCCGCGGTTTGATCCGGGTTTATGGCCGTGGTGAAGGCGATGACACGAGTGAGGAATCTGTTCTGCCAAACCTTTCGTATATGGCATCCAGTTCCATCCCTAACTGGGACGAGCCACCTCATTCCAACAATGGCTCTCCCGGCGGTGGCTGGACCGCGAGCGGAGCTGGTGCGGCTGCTGCCGCACCATCATCGTCATCTTCACCCTTGAAGCCACTTGAGCATGGGATTGAAGAGTCCGGCGTTTTGACCATCGATGCGGATACCGTCCGTCGTTTACACTCGAGCTACATCGGCAATCTGCATAAATTGCATCCGTTCCTCGACCAGAACGATCTCGAGAAGAAGCTCGATTGGTTTATCCAGGTCTATTGCCCGGTGGGACCGTCGAATCCGGGCATTCCCGCAGAGTATCCCCGGGGAGCCAAGCGCAAGCGCTCTTGTGATACGTTACACGGTGTTGCATGCGATGTGCCGTCTCCCGCCACTGTGAAGACGGATCGGGCCTCCCCGCGACGCATTGAGCAATCAATTGACAATGCCATCATCCTCCTGGTGATTGCCTTGGGTAGTATCTGTGAATGGAAGGAACTCCCCGTCCCGGGGTCGGTCACTGACAATCCCCCGGATTTCCGCAAGGAACAAATCCCTGGCCCGTCGCTGAACCGAAGCCTCCTTTCTCCAGCTGCGTCAGATTCGGCCCTTCCAATCTCCAACAGCCTCTACGCGCCGACGAGTAGCCAGCCTTTTAACTCTCCGTCGCTTGTTGACGGTCGACGAAGTATCGCCGGTCAGTCGTCCAACCGGGAAGGTCCAGACAACCGACATCTGAGAAACATGGATGTCATCCCCGGGTTGGCCTACTATGGATATGCAACCCAGATTCTGGGTGCTTTGCAGGGGGCCAATGGATTGCCCCATGTGCAAGCCGCGTTGCTTGCCGGTCTTTACGCCGGTCAATTAGCCCATCCATTCCAGAGTCATGGATGGATTTACCAGGCTGCTCGGGCCTGTCAGGTGCTTGTTCGATCGAAGCGATATGAACAGATGAGCGACGGCCCTCTCAAAGATCTGGTTGACTTTGCGTACTGGACTTGTTTGCAGCTGGAGAGTGACATCCTGGCTGAGCTTGACCTCCCGGCTAGCGGGATTTCCCGTCTCGAAGGAAGAATTTCCTTACCTAAGGGCCGCTTCACTCTTTCACTTCCCAATGAGATTTGTGCGCCCAGTACAATGATGATGTTCTTCTACTCGGCTCAGATCCATCTGCGGAAGGTATTGAACAGGGTTCACACGGACTTGTACAAGGTTGAGAGTAAGTTGAGCAGAGCCCGCGCACCTATGTGCTTACTGACAATGTCCAGAGCAAGGCCAGACCCGTTGGTCGTCAAATGTGCAGGAAATCCTAAGCATGAACCTGCAATTATGGCGGAGTAGTCTTCCTGAAGTGATGCGATGGAGGGACGGCGATCCGCCATCGAAGGAAATCAACGTCGCCCGGATGCGTGCCAAGTATTACGGTGCCCGTTATATTATTCATAGACCACTACTTTACCACGCCCTCCACTTTGCTGGACGGGCAACATCGGTTGACTCCCCAGGGGCCGCTCCGGCCATGTCCGGCTCGCGGTCTCAACAGATGTCCCCTTCGATGGCTTCCGGTCAGCGCCCCACTACCATGGGTCGACTTCCGAGTGACATGGGTACGGCACCAGCTCAACGCGCCCCCGGAAGCACTCCTGGATGGGGATACACCTCAGGATACACCTACCGGGATCTTCCCACCAAACTCCGACGAGCCTGTAAAGTCTGCATTGACTCTGCCATTTTGAGTACTGAAGCGTTTGATGGTATTGAAGGCCGTCCTGTGGTGACTAATATTTTCGGAACGGCTCATGCGTATGTCACAACTACCTCAAAAAAAAAAAAAAAATTCGAATCTGAAGCTAACTAGTTATAGACAATTTGGTAACATGTTGGTGCTTTCTGCCACATACATGTCCAACCTCTCCGAACTGGTGGACCGAAATATCCTCGAGCGACTCCTCCGGCGTACGATCCGCTTCTTGCTGCAAAGCCGGTATATTTCTCCCAGCTTGCGAGCTGATGCTAAGATCCTGACCGAAATCTATGAGAAGATCTTTTCCGAGTCACCCGGAAGCTTCGCGAATTAAATGGCTTCAACAGCAGCCCATGCTTCTTCTATTCTCTCTTTCCTTTTTCTTTTTGGTTGTTTGGGATTTATCGTTTTTTACCCGGTCTTCTCTCATGGCCATTTCTTTTCTCTTTTTTTCTTTTCTTTCCGGTTTCGACATATTGACATGAGATTATATGCATATACATACCTACAACTTTGCATGGTGGCGATCTGAATCTTATGCGAGAGCCAACTAGTTCTTTTCGTTCTGCATCCGATATCCGAACTAACATGCATCATTTATTTGGCTTGTTGTTTTCATCTGATAAATTTGACCAAACCCACCAGCAATGGCGGTTCTTTGAAATTGTTATGCTTACTTGCACCTACCCTTTGTTTTGTCTTTCTTTTCCTAATGTTACATGCTTTGGAGTTTATTTGGGCGTCCGGCACCTGCATTTGCGTGTTTTTTTCTTTGATTGGGACCGGGAGGAATGGATCATTTGCATTTCTAGCGGATTGGATCCGGATGGATGATATCGGTGTTAGTAGCAGTCAATCAGTGTCAGTATCAGTGCGGGTTTCCGTTTCTGTGTACAGTCATTGGTAAACAGATTGCATTATTATGATCACTCGTATTTTTTTTTTTCTATTTTTTTCTTTCTTTCTTTTTTAAGTAAGGGATGGTACTTTGTACTTATGCTTGCAGTACTTTCTACGACTAACACGTATCCAAACTCCACCTTGACTCCCACATGTGAATAAGGCCCGGTAATGCGTAGCCGTTCAGGGACACGGACGCCCGGCAATTGATATAAACTGTACGGTGTACATGTACACCGTCCCGAGGTGCAAACGTCGGGACACCCTAGTCTACCCGTTAAACGTTAAGCTGTGAATCCGTTTCCCCTAGTTCAGTGATCTACCAGCATCTAACCCCGATACACAGTGTCCCACTAACGGTACTTCCTGACAGGCAACAGTACGGGGCCGTACTCCGTAGATCTCTGGGTATAAAGGATGAAGGACGAAGTATGAGGAATAGAAGTGGTCTAGACCGCTGGAGTAACGGTAGTGGGCTATTTGCTCAGTGCTTTGGTACTATTTGTAGTACTGTACGAAGTGCTCGGGTTAGTCGGGCTAGTCGGGTGTCCTGCCGAGGTTGACATCACTGGATGAAGATTAGCATTTTTTCTTCGGACGGATGGACGGGAGTAAGTGGCAATCGATACTCCGCATAGAATAGGAATAGGAAAGGGAATAGGGAGAGCTAGCGGATTGGATGTGCAGTAGGAATGGTAACCTAAGAGGGTTCAGGACTGGGCTCATCCGTGGCGTCGAGCTTTGAAGACATAGTTCTTCCAGAAAAATGGGCCATCTTCTCCTGGAAGTGGCTCTTTCTCTATGTTCTCCCTGATACCCTGTCTCCTGTATCCTTTGATATTATATATTGTCTTGTGACTATCTTGAACTCAGTGTCACGGAGCACGGGCGCTCACCAACGACGCAAGATGTTTATTACTTTGGTTTATTGAATATAGGGCAGGAACCCCTTTGTACACACTAGGTAGTGCAGCACTGGCAGTCCCAGCTTCTTCCTTTCCTTCTCCATGTTAGTATTCCACTAGATAGTCTACCAATAGACTTGTATTGTTTGAGACCGTCACACTTAACTTCATTCAACATTCCAGTCCTGTCATAACTTTTCTATGTACACCATGGAGATCTAACAGTATGCACATCCAACCCTTTTCACTTCCACAGAGTTAACATGATTATACTAGCACGTACAGACAACAAATCTCAACCTAGAAATGAGGGTATTTATAATACATATAGTGGCTATTTCTGTCTTGATTAATCACTGGTACTGTTGACTAGGCACAGAATCACTCTAATATACAACTTTTTGGGGAGCGGAATGGACAGTATCACGGCATAATCTCTTTCAATAACAAAGTGCATGTCATGTCAACATGATCCTCACATAGCCTAAGAAAGGATATCAGATACCAAGCATTCAATTACTAATGTGCTGAGTTATCTCAAATGATGAGACATAGTATCACAATGAATTCCATTTTACGGGACTCAAAAACACAGTATCATGGGCGAGCTTACGGTTTGGTAAACGTTGATATGTCATTGTGGTGGAGTATTGGCTGAGATCCCAAGAACTGGACTAGACGGTCTTGAGCTGCTAAAGAAGCCGACTCTGGAATCAATGAGGCAGAGCTGGTTAATGCCGACAAAGCTCGCGCTGGACTAGGAATCCTGGCATATTGAGAGCTTGTTGGGGTGTCAAGTTGGTAGGAACTGACTTGAGCGTTGACACCCTAAAAGTTACAAAGTCATGACAGAACTACAGATTGAAAAAACCGATTCATAAAGACGGATTTCATAGCAATGAGATGCTTACTAACATTTGTTTTGGTCTTCCAATTTGAATCAGGGTTATATTACACGGCTCAATATGAATCTATTAACAATTCCGATTCGGTTCATGTTCCTTCTTTCCTTGCCAGTAATAAGCACTTGTGCATGTTGTATCATGTCCACTAATGGAGCAGATCTGACATACACGACATCGCAACCCTTGAAAACCATTATGGACTGGAAGTCAATAGGTACTACAGCTGCAGAGCACAATCTCCTTCATGGACGGTTTTTCTTGATCATTCAACCGAGGTCTAAAGAATCACAGATGGTAATAGCTAGTTTTTTATGGGATATTGATAGAATATTTAGGTTCAAAAGGGCATATAGTAGCAAACAGGAGAGCTATGTTTTAGGTGTTGATAATAGCAGTTGCTGCCACATAAAGCTCACATTACGCCCAGCAGCAACCGCGAAATTACTTTGGATATATTTTTTCTCACCTCCGGCGTCCCATGAGAGGACGGTGTTTGCTTGCTTTCCTTCGGCCAAGATTTGGATTATGGAGCTTCCAATAGCCATCTTCTAGTGCCTTCTTCTCTCCGGCTGGATGAGTCCACACCGTCAGTAATGGAAACGAGATTAAAACTTTCGCGACGTTCCATATCCCCGATGCGCTTGATTAATTTTCTGAGATCCTTCTCTATGGATGAAACCAGTATCAACCAAGGATTTGGTAAGTACAGACATTGAACAAACCCTAGCAGATAAACATACCTGGCTTGTTCAACTGGTATGTGGAAAGATCGCTGTATAACATATGCAGCCGCAACCGCAGCTGCGTATCCCTGCCATTAGTTATTTTTGTGCAAATCACAGTAGTTTGAACCCCCGGAATCACCGAGCAAGGAAAAGCAACCAAGGCTCTTGCAGCCTTCATTTCAAAGCATAGTACACCATGTTCTGCAGCCAACTGGTCTTTTTTCCTTTCATCCTTGATGACAAGCTCACAAGAAGCAATTGTTCCTCTATGGGCCCCAACACGGGGCTAACCATCCTCCTCTGCCTCGCTGTAAAAGTCGTTCGAGTTGAGATCGAGCCCGTGCAGCCGCCAGGTCTTATGATGCCTGAAGAACGGCTGGAGGTGCAAATGCCCCAGTACGTACTTGCTACCTAGTACGGGCCTTTCCATGACCAAATTGAATTACACCAGAATTTATACCAGTCGGTTTGTCGATACCACATTACCAAGGCGAATTTTCCCGTAGTCAGTCAGTCTTCACGGTACCCCGCCTGCGGTTCCAACCAGGAGACCGAAATGGACGTTAGGAAAAGTCATTCGCATTCGGGCAACGACCACAGCTGCAAGATTGATTCTCGGTGTCTATAGCCCTGCAACCACGGCATTCTTATCAGCAATACTGCCGAGATGGTACCCGTTTTTATCACCACGCTGTTAAGGAAAAGCTTTGTGCTCTTCGTCCAGCATCTCCAACGCTGCGGGTATTTCTACCTTCGAGGGACAGACCTACCTGACTGTGTATACTCGTATGTCAGCTTCTTCCGAGAAATTGACGATCCGTCTGGTGAAGAGTCAGGTGTGGTTGTGCGTTTTCTGGTGTTATCAGGCACTGAGGCGGGACTTGCTGATTTTGCAGATGTAGGTGAAGGAACTGATAGAATCCGGTACCATAGTTAGCTCTCCACAAATGGCGCAATTGGGATTGAAAATATCCTTTGCTCGTGCCTCCAAATGGCAGGTCGAAGTTCTTCCAGAGAGACCCCGCGGGGCTGAAATGAACAGAAAAGCTGCAACTTGCGTGCATGTGGATCGCAGCAAAAGTACTATCATTTCGCCAGATTATACAGGCTCCTTCAGGCCCAGTGAATAAGCGTGAGCCTGTCGTTGCGTCTGCCAGTCAAGCCTGAGGCTGGTGCAGATTACATGACTCGCTGGAGTAGACGAATACCGCTTTCAAGCTGTACCCCATAATTAGGGCACTATTTCCTGGCTGTCGCTCATGTCTGCAAGTTGAATTGCTCCTTGACGTATAATTCTTCTGTGCATATCTTCCATAAATGTCATAATACCGAGTGGTTGCGTTTGTAAGTGCTCGATTCCATTAGATCCACCTCTCCTGTTTGGCCAATAACGGACTCCACGGTACCATAAGCCATGTTTGGCTTTTATCAAGTTGTCTCTTCCAAGAAATGGCGTGGTTGACTAGGGACACCGTGTTGGTCTGAATAACGAATGTCAAGTGCGGCATGGATCTTAACCGAGGAGTTTGGCGACTCCTGAGAAAACCGCTCCCCTTTTCCGGTCAGTAAATTTCCCCGACGGTGGTTTTGCGTTCTAACTTCTGTGTTTCAAAAACCTGTTGTACTTGATTATTCGAATATTCCCACGTCCCGACATATAAATGTAAGGCCTAAGGCATGGATGCGGGCTTACTGTGAACCATATATTCTTCCCTGCAACCTTGGCATAGAGCCATAACTGTACCGACACAGGAACTAGAATGTGGACATCGCGCGAAGGTTAGCATTAATGTATCATTGATTACCCGTGAATATTTAACTAACAGTAAAATAGGTTTTACCGCCGACGTCTGCGGCTGGCTGATCCAGAAGACTCTCCTTAGTCCCTGGAAGACCCTACCACTCTTGCTCCTGGCCCAATTCACATCTCACGGCCGCGAGATTGCGCAGCAGCATCCAAAATTGCACTATACACTACATGGACTAGCATCCCTGGCAGTTATACATCGTCTCAACGCGTGGACCAACCACAAGGTCCTGAACAATGGTGTCTCAGACCAGTACGATTGGACGAGAGAGACTGTCGTCTTGACCGGGGGGAGCAACGGGATTGGAAGACATATAGCACTTCTATTGACAAAGCGGGGAATCACCGTTGCTATTTTGGACATTGAGCCCCCAACGAAGGAAACAGAGGATGGAGACAAGATTCATTACTATGAATGTGATATTACCTCCCCTGATGCCATCGCTTCGGCGGCCACAGACATCCGCTCTTCTCTGGGTACACCTACGGTTCTCATCAACAATGCTGGTGTCTGCACCGGCCAGACCATCTTATCCGGCACGGAGGCACAAACCCGTCGCTTATTCGAGGTCAATACCTTCTCCCACTACCACATTGTCCGCGAGTTTCTCCCTGCTCTTATTACAGCCAACCATGGTATGGTGGTTACTGTCTCCTCGCAGTCCGGATATACTACTGCGCCCAACATGGTTGACTACTCTGCTAGTAAAGCGGCCGCTGTGGCTTTCCATGAAGGTCTTGCTGCGGAACTAAGAACCAGGTACCACGCCCCACGCGTGCGGACCGTCCTCGTGGCACAAGGTTTCACTCGGACGGGGTTGATTCGGAACCTCACCCCGGAGGATACATGGTTTAATCCGTTACTCGAGCCCGAGACCGTTGCAGAGGCCGTGGTTGACACGGTGATCAAGGGACGGAGCGGGAGGGTCGTTGTACCCGGGACATCGGGGTGGTTGGCATGCAATATTAGATCGCTGCCGCTCTGGATGCAACATTGGACGAGGAGCCGGCTGGAAAGGCTAATGAGAGCCTTTTAATTATTGCGATCTACTTTGGTAATGATCTATAATTGGTATATTAAGCTACCTCACTCCGAAATGTTCGATTCATGCACGTAGACGTGATAGGCCAGCCACACCAACCACCCATTTCGAGTGGCGTCAATGCCCGAGCTGAACCCTCCTGGTTAATTTTAGCTGCCTTCCCTCTGGATTTCGTACTTTGTAGTGGTGCAGAATTTTCTTTATCTTTTCTTTCCCTTTTGTTTTGTTTTCCCTCAGTTCTAAAGTGAGTGCTTCGTTGGCCGTTTGTTTATTTTGCCGTGTTTTCACGTGCGGTGGAGCCTCACCGCGATTGACTCTCCACCCGTCAAGTTGTCTTCTTGACCTCGACAGCACAGCAAAAGGGTGAGCATCATCATAGCAACCGCCATTATTACTACCCTACTATCTCCATCGGGGATTTCATCTCATTATTTGCATTCTCGTGGTTCACTATCTTTACTCTTCACTGGTATAACCTCACTCTCAAGTCAACTCCGTTCATCTCCAGCTCGGAACCACGGCTAAGACGCTAAATCTTAGCGGGTTCCTTTCCCTGGAGCAACGAGAGCTCCCAAGGCAGAACCACGGTTCTTTCCGCTTGTTTACAAACAATTCTCCCATGGTTTCCGTGCTGATTGAACTGTTTATTTCATACTAGATCTCATACCCATTTTCTCCCCGCACATTCCCCCGATCGATCTGTTCAATAATAACACCACCACATTCCATTCTTCGGAATAAAAAATCACGAGGCGACAGAAACCCCACATGATCGTGATCGCCTTTGCTGTTCGGGCAGCTTCGCTCTGATCACTTCCTGCCCTACGGCGTACTTATAATCTCTCAAAAAACATCGAACACGGTCAACAACAACGATGTTTAAAGGCTTGATGAGGCGCTCATCGTCCTCGTCGACTCCTGACGGGCGCAACCAGTCCAGTTCCAGTGGCAAGAAGTCCAGCGGCATCTGGCGCAAGAAAACCGATTCCAAGTCCAAGGTTACCTCGCGCGGTGACGACCGTGATCGTAGTCTAGGAGACTTGCCGACGGATTCGGCACCGCCTTCGTCTGGCCGCCGGAGCTATGAACCCAGTGTTGCTAGCGAGCCGGTCCCAAATGTTGATCGCGATGCACGGGGTGCGCGCAGACGTGATCGCGAACGGTCGTCCAGTCCAGAACCTGTGCCCAGGAGGCTGAACGGGAACCAGTCTCGGAGTCGGGATGATAGCGCCAACGAAGAGAGCAACCGGTGGAGAGAGTCACAGCGCTGGCCGTCTGGTGATGTGTCTCTTCCCCCACTAGACACTGGTGCTGCACACACGACTTCTGATCAATTCGCTGCCGATATTGCGTCGCCTGGCTTTTCTCAATTTCCTATGCAATACGATAATAATTATAATTACGAATCCCCTAATTACAATAATCCTGTTTCGATTCCGCCGCCGCTAATGCCAAGCCATCCCGATTCGTCTCCTATTTCGCCTGCCACGTTCGACCCTCACGTCCCGCAGCAATTCCTAGGCCAATTCCCCGACAATACTGCAGAGCCCTATCATCCGTACAACAATCCGGCTGGAGAGGCAGCAGATTACTACGGTGACCAGGGGCAGTCGGTTCAGAACCAACCAGGTGTTCGCCCCAACCCGCCTCTGGTCATTCCCAATAGCCAAGCACATTTGATGCCCGCTTCTCCGGGCGCCAACCCACCTCCAGAGCCTAGTAGCATGGGACAAGTGGGCTCCGCGGCGGAATTCTATGCTGATTCTCCAGACCTGGATAATCCGGTTCCCCAACAACAACCGCCCGCGGAACCTCCCAAGCCTTCAGAGCCAAACAAACCATCTGCTGCCCCTGCCGGTATTCCTAGTGGTTCGCCCAGCTATGGTACTCCAGACTCTCCTGTGCCGCCTGAGGCACCTGGATCGACCGGTACCCAGCCTGTGGGATACACTCAAAACAGCCCTACTCAATCTCATAACATGGGTCCCACCATCGGAGCGGCAGCAGCGGCAGCAGCAGTGGGATACATGGCAAATCACTACCATAACTCATCGACGTCGAGTTCTGAGCATCCTTTGCCATCGTCGTATACGCAGAATCATGAGCCTTACTCTCCTATAGGCCAGCCAGGTCCAGCCATATATCCAAATCCCGCCTTGAATAACCCCAACCACGCTTCTCACCCAAATCACCCAGACCATGAAGCCGTTTATCACCCATCTCCGTTTCATTCGGGTGGTTTGGCGTTTCAACAGCGACAGCGAGGCCCCCTGGAAAAGTTTATCGACTTCTGGAAGGACCACGAGGCTGTTGGAATGTACGAGGAATACACAGAGGCCATTGGGGTCTGCAAGTACTGCTTCGAGCCCGGTACCACCTCACGAGATGCCCCGCGGAAGCATAACTACCGGCCGCGCCGCCGCTCTTCAGATCGCTTCAGCAGTGACTCCAGGGTGAACAAGTCGAGTCGCTATTCGTCCCCCTCAGACGAGGGATCTCGACGACGCAGGAGCTCATCTAAGAGGTCTTGGTTTGGTGGTTTGTTCTCTGGATCCGCGGCTAAAGCTTTGTTCGAGAGCCAGGATTTCGAGGATTCGTACAATGTTCGACCAAGCCGAGTCAGCAGTCCGCGCCTTTCATCCTCTGACAGCGAAAGTGATTCGGACTGCAAGAGCAAGCCTTCACGTCGCCGCGGGCGCTCTTCTCTCAGTCAATCACCAGGCGGTAGCAGGCGCAACTCTTATTCGGACCCGAGGAGGAGCAGATACGAAGGACCACGTTTGCGATCTCGATCTCGATCTAGCTCCGACTCTCGATCCAGGTCCTTGTCCCGATCGGACCGTCACTCCCCTGTTCGCGATTTTGCCCTCGGAGCTGCGGTTGGTTCTGTTGCCGCGGCAGCCACATCCCGCCCTCAGAAGAAGCGCAGTCGCTCCCCGAAAAGGAAAGGCAAGGACCGAAAGGAATCGACTACGGAGGATTCTTCGTCTTCTTCCTACCTCGATATCTCAAGACCAACTACCGCGGGGAGCTTGGGATCTTTTTTCAATGCCCCTTCTGAGAACACGAAGAAGCTTAGGCCCAGATCGCGAAAGGGTTTCTTCCCATTTAGTAATAATAATTCTTCCTCTTCGTCCTTGGATGATGATCTTGCATTCGGAACGGCATATGCAAAAAAGCCCAAGAAATCGAAAAAGGGAAAAGGGAAGAAGAAAGATGAGGACGTGAACGCGAAACTTCTTGAATTGAGTGCCATGGCTACGGCATTGGCCGGATCCACTCAAGGCCGCCGGTCTGGTGAAATTCTCGCCGGCAGGAATCCGCGGTCGCGTCGGCCTCGGAGCGTCCTGTCTGCTCCCAAGGATGACGAATGGGAAGATTATTCAGAAGGACAGGAATCTAGCGTTAGTTCCGCGCTGGCGTTTGGTGGCAGCAGTCAATATGGCAGCAGCAGTAGCGGCGGCGAAGATTCATCCGACTCGGGGACATCGAAGTGGAACTGGAGGTGGGGAAGCAAGAAGGACAAGAAAAAGAAGGAGCAAAAAAAGGACAGCCCATCTCGCGGTGATTTCCCCACTGGCTCCATTCTTGCCAGCACTGCTCTTGGAACGGCTGCGTTAGCTTCGGGTTATCGTAAAGAAGGGGAACACTTCTCCAGCCCCAGCAGCAGCAGCTCCGAAAGTTTACAACAACTGGAACCCATCCCCGCCTCAGACCCTCCCCATTTTGATGCTAGTAGCTTCCCGCCATCATCTTCCGCCCAGGAGCCGGCTTTCATTCGCCCCGGGCCGATTCCGCTTCAACAACCTCAACCTGTAACACCGGTGTCGCAGGCTGTCTACTCGTCCCAGGGAGAGCCGGCTCCAGTGTACAATGCCCCCACCGTCCCTCCGTTTTTTCCACCAGATGCTTTTTACGACCCCGCGTCTGGGAGACGAGACGAGGCTTACCCGCAACGTAGCGACGTCTCTTCAAATTGGAACCGCACTCATCGGCGACGAGAGTCATCCCCCGACTTCTATCCCGGACCGTTTCAAGACTTCACGCCCTCTAGCTACAAACGTCGCCCGACAGACCAAGCGTCAGTCCAGTTTGACCTAACCGAGGAACAAAAAGACAAGGAGCGCCGTGCCGCCCGTCGCGAAAGAGAAAGACGTGATAATAACCGCGACCAAGACATCCAACTTCTTGACCATGAAAGTGAAGAAGACAACGAATGTCGAGAACCACGTCGCATGGAACGCCTGGAACTAGAGCCCGAGCGAGGAAGGAGCCGGTCCCGTTCTCGATCATCGACTCGCAGAGATCGCTCGCCGGACCGTCGTCGATGGGGCGATGACGATTCGTCATCCTGGATCGGCCCTGCCGCCGCTGGTACGATAGGCGCTGTGGTTGCAGTTGCGGCTATGCCGAGTGGGGCACCAAGTGAAAGCGCCTCTGAGAGTAGCCAGCGCTACAGGGAACGTAGTGAAAAGCGCCGTGCTGAACGAGTTCCTCCGTTTTCTGAGGTGGGATGGGATCGGCCTGCTCGTGCTGACGTTGATGAAAGGCTCGAGTCACGACCAAAGCCTGCTAGTGCTGAGCCCAAGGAGGAGCCTCGAACACAGCAAAAGCCTGGTGATGTTGATATTGAGGATGAATTCCAGATAGCGCCGGAAAATCAGTCAAGGCCTGGCAAGAACCCAACAACCAGGACACCACGCACGAAGCCTACGCACGAAAGCTATGCCACGTACTTTGCTCCTCAGGAGGAGCGACACAGCCCTGATGCACAAACGGAGCATCGAGAGAACGCCACAATGTCTACGATACCTGAAGATGAGCCGGAACCTCCGCCCCAGCAAGACACCGAGCCTCCGTCGAAATACCTTGGAGAACTCCGCTGGACTGTTCCCCGATTGAATCTCATCGAACCCACGCCTCCTCATAGCCAGAATGGGTCAGTAAGGGACGTCGCTTCTCCTGATCCGTCCGCTGCAGAGCACTGCCAGAAGGAAGAAGTACCTCGTCGTGAACAAGGATCGACAACTGGCTCTCGCGTGTCATGGGGTGGAAACGAAACCCATGAATACGAAGTCCACTCGACATCTTCTGAGCAAGACTCTGATTATGAGATGGCTGATGAACTCGATGACATGCAAAGGGAACCTGTTAATCACGGGATGGCTCAAGAACCTGTTGGTATGCAAAGAGACCTTGTTGATTACAAGATGGTTCAGAAACCAGAAGGCATGAAAAGGGATCCTATCCAGCAGGACATCGAGTTTGCAACTATTCTTGATGCCACAACCAAGGACGCAGGCTTCGACCCGGCAATTATGACTGCTGATTCTCACTACGATACGCGCTCGTCACCACCGCAGGCTGAACACCACGAATTCTCGGAATATGAACCCTCTTGGCAGAAACCTGCCCATTACATCCTCGAGCCTCATGGGGCTGGCCGAGATGAGGTCCAGACGCTTCCTGGCGAGGAAAGAGAGCCAGAGGTTATGGAGTATGCACCTGAGGTCAAGCGGCACAAGGAGGCTATCGGACGCTTCAATGCACCCAAGGCCAAAGAGACCATGCCTGGTAGCTTTGAGGAAGAGTCAATGGAGCCAACCGAAGGCCCATCTCCTCGCCCGGTTGTCGAAGAAAAACGCCCCAGAGAAAACGACAGACTGTCCAGGAGGCGCTCAAGCCGTGACAGCGCTCGTGATGACCCAAGGAAGACTGCAATTGACGTCTCCCGGCCGGAGCCAATCAGCGAGAAGCCGCTAAGTGAAAAGGAACAGGAACCAGTGAACAACGATATTCCATCTAAAGAGGACCGCGACATCAAGGTTCCAGGAGAGTTCGCGCCGATTACACTTGCTATTTCTCCTCTAGGGCCGATTAGCGAAGAGCCCCGAAGCTCAAAGAAACAGCAGCCGGTGAAGAATGAGACCCCCTGGGAGGATTACCACCAAGCAGAAGCCCCTAGGGAGAGTGAACGTCCAGTTTCCCCGCCATCACCAGGCAGCGGCTACCGCATGAGCCAGGACGATCTGAACAAAAGTGAACCTGTTTTCAGAGAAAACCCCAGGGAGAGTG